TGCTGGAATTACAGGTGTGTGCCACAACACCTGGCAAAATATTTATTCTAAATAGACTGCAAAGCATTAAAGTATGTACATTGTAATGCCTAGTGCTACCATAAAAAAAAAAAAAACCAAAGAGATGTAATTTTAAAGCTGAATATAAAATGGAATAAAAAAATTCAAATAATTCAAAAAAAAAAGGCAGAAGGAAGGAAACAAAGAATGAAAATAAGGGGAGAGAAAAAATAAAGAGGCAGCAAAAAGAAAAAAAAAGAAATCATTACTCTGATTTGAAAACTGCTCTAAAGAATAAGTCAACTAATAAAGAAAACTAGTAGCCCGCATCCAAATACATCAACAGATATATTAATTGTAAATAGTATAAATATACTTATTAAAAGACAAAAGTGTCAGGAGAGGTTTATTTCTTGATTGATATTTTTATTTTTTATTAGAGATTTATAGTTGTACATAACAGTTGGGTTCATCCCAATAAATAGGATAGTTTTTTAAAAATGATTCAATTTTTTGTTGCCTAAAAAAAACATTTCAAATAAATTGCATAGGTAATTTAAAAGAAACAGAATGGAAGAAGATACTAAAACATTCAAAATCCTCATTATTGTGATCATCATCCTCATCCTAGGATGGCTATTTTAACAACAGGCAAAGTAGACTTCAAGGCAAAGAATATTTCCAAAGATAAATATGAACATTAATAGCAATCAAAGAGACATTTATGAAGAGGACATAACAATCCTAAATGTGCACATACCTAACAACGAGCTTCAAAATGGATGAAGCAAAACAGACAGAACTAAAATCAAAGTAGACAAATTCACAAATATAAAGACTTTTAACACACTTCTCTCATTCTTAGAATTAATAGAAATCAGCTCTAAAAAATAAATCTACTAATAAATAAAACTAATAACCCCCATACAAATACATCAACAGATATATTAATTGTAAATAGTATAAATATACTGATTAAAAGACAAAAAAGCATCAGGATGGGTTTATTGATTGATTGATATTTTTAGATAGAGAAGAACTGAACAGCAACAGCAACCAACTGGATCCAATTGACATTTACAGAACAGTCACCCCAAAAGAAAAGCAGAGCACACATTCTTTTTAAGTGCATGTGAAATATTCACCAAAATAAAATCATATCTGGGAACATAAAATTCACTTTAACAATTATAAAAGCATCAAATGCATACAAATATTTTCTGACAATAATGCACTTTGATTAAAAATCAAATATAGAACAATAACAGAAAAATCTGCACACATTTACTTGTAAACATTCCTAAGTTTATAGGTAAGAGAGAGAGAAATTTGAAAATATTTTTAAATGAAAATGCAGTATTTCAAAATTTGTAGGAAATACCTAAAACAGTACCTAAAAAGGCTAAATTCTTACATTAGAAAGGAAGAAAGTTCCCTAATCAGTAATTGAAATTGTTACTTTAAGAAACTAGAAAAAAAAAAACAAGACAGACCCAAAGCAAGCCAAATAAAAGAAACAATGAAGATCAGTATAGAAATTAATGACCCTTGGGCTGGGGTTGTAGCTCAGCGGTAGAGCGCTTGCCTCACACGTGCAAAACCCTGGGTTCGATCCTCAGCACTACACAAATAAATAAATAAATGAAATAAAGATAGTGTGTCCAACTACAATAAATAAAAAAGAAAGAAAGAAAAAGAAATTAATGACCCTGAAATCAGGTCCTCTGCCTTCAGAATTGCTGACCCATCTGGTCAGTATTTGCCTCCCAAAAGATACACTGGGCAAGGCAGAGGGAGAACCCTCTCCCACCTACTGCCAATCCCTATTTTTCAGGGCCTCCCTGCAACTTTCTCTCCCCCAAGCCTAGGAAGCATTTTTCTAATCTGGGGGCTATAAAGGAATTTTGTCTTTTTTCTTTTTAGTTGTACATATTTAAGGTATATAACATTAGTGTTGATAGACATAAATATAAGTGTATTGATTATTATAGCCAAACAAATTTATATATTCATCCTCTCACATAGTTCATTGTTGTTGTTTTAATGGTTAAGAACACCTAAAATCTCCTGTCTTAGTCAATTTCCAGTATACAAAAAATCCTGTTAACTTTACTGGAGGATCTTTGCCTTTATCCATAATGGTTTTCCCACACTTATAAAACTTGAAATCCCAAAAGAAGAGTTCTGTTTTTCTCTGTTCTTTGCAGCTACTTCCTCCCCAGTGCTCTTGGACAGGCTGGCTGTGTGAGAGGGGAAAAGGGAATGTTGGTGGGAAGTCGTCCGTATTTTCTTTATGCTATTAGTATTTTATTTTATTAGTTTTCACTATTTTAAGTGATGTTCCTCCTCCTCTTCTCCCTTCAATATCCACAATTTTCCAGGGTCACATCAAATGCTGGCATGTACCCCTTTCTCAATTTCCTGTCATCGCTCCTGTTGACACATTTCCTGAGTATTGCCACATTATGCTATGTTGTAAATACAGATGCTATAACCTGAATATCAGCATAGCAAAGAAAATGCCTTGATGCCCTTGTAGGAAACATTTATGAATCTACACTAGGGATTTGCCTGGCCTGTATAGGCAGGCTCTTAAGCTGTGTAAAGATTGTTGCCGGTGTAGGACTCTTAGCACTATAGATGTTCTTCTACTCACTTTTCCCCTCACTTCTCTATACAGAGGTTCATTTTGTATTTCTTAGCTTCCAAAACATTTTCAAATCTTTCTATCACTGCATCATTGGAGACAGGCATATCATATATGACTAACTGAAATGAAGAGCAGTTTTTTCTTCCAAGAGGCAAAGCCTGTGTGGGATGATGGGGATGCTGGAATTGGTATTGGGGTAGAAGTCTAGATACGAGCAGAGCAGAAGTCTCCTTACTTCAGGAAGTCGGGTATAGTGATCCCAGGTGGTGAAGCAATGGTCAAAATATGTCACCAACAAAGGAGATTTGTCATCAGTGGGGAGTCTCCCCTTGCCCACAGCCTGAGAAAAACCCTTTGACTAAGAGAGCAACAGCAATATAATATATTGATCACCCTGGTGCCCAGGAGCAGAGGGTGATCAATCTGAAGGCCCCAGAGAACAACTGCACATGGAATGTGCTATGATTTGTATATAACTGGTTTGTCTTGTCTGAAACTCATGTTGAAGTATAATCCCCATTATGAGATATTAAGAGGTGAGACCTTTAAAAAAGGAGTAAGTCTCTGACCTCATGAATGGATTAGTCCATTTATGCAATAATGAATGAATGGATTCATGGGCTAGTGGGTTATCTTGAGAGTGGGTTTTCTGTGAAAGCCAGTTGGGCTAGTACTCTCACACGCTCCCTTTCACCATGTGATGCCCTGCACCATCTTGGGAATCTGCCAGCAATAAGGGCATCGTTACCAGATACAACCCCTTGGTCTTGTTCCAGAATCATGAGCCAAAATCAACCTCTTTTCTTTTTAACTTGCCCAGTCTGTGATGTTGTATTATTAGCAACAGAAAACAAAGACAGAAGGCAGAGCTTGCTCTATTGGACCATGGAGGCTTTGCTGACCTCTATCTGTTGTTCTGCCCTAGTTGGAGCCAAATGGCTTCTTTCAGTAGGACCCTGGGTGAGAGTGAGAAGTGCTGACCTGAATCACCAAAAACAGAGATTTACAGGAAACACTCCAAGTTAGTAAGGAAATGGTATCCAGAGACACTTACACTGACATATCCCTGTCCACCCTCCATGGGTTACACATCTGTGTTCATAAGGGATTTTTAAAGCTCATTTTATTAGCCTGGGTAAGTCACAAAAGTCCAAGTTGTTATAATAATAATTTATTATTATTTAAATTACAAATGTGCTTATAGACTCTTTTGTGTTTGATTCATTTTTTTTAATTAATGAGGGGGAAATATTGAAAGGACATTTCTCCATGTTAGTCTCCAAACAAGGCCCGGGATTTACTTTAATCATATAACCTGCATCATCGGTTCAGGGGGAGGAGGGGATGCTGCACTCTTTGGTCAGGTTTACTTACACCCATCCTGCTTCTCTAGCTCCCCTACCCAGGGTCCCAGCCAATGAGGAGAAATGGTTCCTGGAAGTGAGGAAGCATCAGGAAATTGAAATAACATCCCTTCAATATGGTTTGAGGAAGCAATTAGGTGGTATATCTCAACTTCTATAAAAGAGATGGTATCTTTTGACCCAGTTCCTCTCCTTCTAGAAGTGTCTTGGGAAATCATTGAGAATGTGGTCCAGGGAAGAAGAGGACGTTTTCACTCTGTGGAAAGCTCTATTTTCAGTTGCCAATCTTCTGTGGGTCTTTGGTGCTGTTCACTTGTACTGGACAGGTCCCTTCAAGTCAGGCCCTGAGCTTTCAGAAACTGCTTCTGGAGGTGTGGAAACAGCAGGATCTGTCAGCTGGTAACCGAGGGCCATTTGGAGTCCAAAATAACTCAGCCCAGTGCTCCACTCCCCACCAAGTCTGTCAGGTGGCCTCCTAGAGGCAAAGCCAGGTGCATTCCCAATCTTGGCAAGCACGGTCGCGAGCTCAGGAGTACATCCCAGGACCCTCATAGCATCCCTTCAGACACCAAGGAACAGGGAGGAGACTTTCAGAGGACCCAAACTGCAATAAGATGTGCCTCAGCTTTAGGCTTTGCCAGAAGGGAAAGAGGAGGACCCCAGAGTTTGTTGGGCTCTGCACTGCTCAGAGCAGCTGTGTATGAACTGGCATGATCCAGGTCCAAGTGTGGGGAGTGGGACTGGTCAAAGGTAAGGTTCTGATGCAAAGTGTGAGGAGGGCTGAGCTGTGGGCTGGAGCTTCTCCTTCATGAGAATCCAACAGGGCATGCTTAGGGAGCTCCGCAACCCCTGGAGACTGGGCCACTTTGGGGTTTCCTAGTATTCAGGTGGCCCTCCCCAGCTCCCAGCCCCTTATCCCAGCTCCCCTGTTGAATCTCCAGGCCATATCTGTTCTCTACTTAACCTTGACCAATTCTTCTTCACAGAACCATGCCCAGGAGTTGGACCTAGAGTTGGGAGCCCAGGCATCCAGGGACGTCCACTAGTCACCAGCAGTGACCTTGTCCACCCACATTACCTCTCAGGGGCCAGGTATGTTCCTCTGTGAAGTGAGCAATCATTCCCATATAGTTGTTTTAAGTACTGAGTGATAGAAAACAGAAGACACATACGCATGATACAGTTTTTCTTCTTTGAATTAAAACTCCTGGAGGTCAGAACCTGAATGGGGGAAGTGAGGCAGGTGCTTCACCCAGGACCCTTGGAAACAGGCCTTAGTTCAGTTCCCTACCTCCTAATACAAAGGAGATGGTCCTTGTTCCTGAAGGAGCAGCAGAAGCTGTCTCAAGCAAAGATGCCAATGTGACTCCCTCAATGATGCCCTGAGCCATCAGATACTACCCAGGGGGCACTACTGCCTTGGCCACTGTGATAAAGTAAGGAATGCAGGCCTCTTCTGAGAGCTTCTGGGGCCCCTGCAGAGAATGGAGTATAACTGAATGGAGACTGAAACAGGAGCTCTGAGGAGGCCAAGCTGCTCGGATCTTTCTCATGGCAGGGGAAGGAAGAGGCCATAAGTTCCTGGTGCTTCCAGACATTTGTAGAGCTATAAGGCCAGCATCGCACTCTACTACTGAGCTAAGCTTCTAGCCCTATTCCAAAAATTTTACAAAGATATAATGGGGAAAAGGAAAGCGAGTTATTGGGCAAGAATGTCTAAAATTCTACACATACTATGGCAAGAGCAAAATAGCTCTGATTTGGAGATGTGGGCTGTCCTATTTCTTTTTTGGTTGCTATACCAGAATACCTGAGAACGGATCATTTATTTTAAAAAAATAGAGTTTTATTTTGGCTCATGGTTCTGGAAGCTGGGTCGTCTAAAATCGTGATTCTTATGAGGACCTCATGCTGTTTCAATTCCTGGTAGCAAGCCAAGGAGCAAATGAGTTTGTGTGGAAGAGGAGAAATCACATTCTATAAGGATTCACTCTCCAGGTAACCAATCCAATCCCATGAGAAAGGCATTAATACCTTTTAACTATCTAATCAGCCTAAATGCCCCACCTATCAGCATAGCCACTATGGCAATCAAGTTGCAGAGAGGATCAACAATATTCAGTCCAGAGCATGAGACTACTATTACCTTCAAGGCCAGCTCAGCAGGGATAATTCCCAGTAGTTATTGATGCCTGGTTGCAGAAAGTCCAGCTAGCAGGCTGGATGAGAAAGATAGTGGGTTATCTGGGCCACAGCCAGCATGGAAATTCTGGTGGACCAGGGGAGCAGAGGCAGCAAGTCTTTTGGGCACAGAGCCTCAGATAGCAGGTGGAACAGTTACCACCTGTATTGTAGTTCCGGCCCCTGGCAGGCAGTGAGTTCCCAAGAGGAGAGCTGACCTTGGGGGCCCAGTCTTCTCTATGGCAGGTGGTGTGATGTTTGCTTTGTTACTCGATCTCATTGGCATTTCTCCCTGTTCCGAGCAGGTGAGGACACTTGTCAGAACTCAGGGGAGTAACTTCCTGGCATGACAGTAGTCCTCACAGGGCCCTCCTCCTGCAGTATCCTTTGCTTCTGTCCCTTCCACCTGCTTAGCCCAGTGCCTGCTCAGGAAAGTTTGCCTGGAGAATATGCCCTCTCTAGTCCCCAGGAAGTAGTGAGAACAACATTGCCTTGACCAGCCACCTGCAGGATGGGGATTATAAATTGGCCACCTGGGAGCTAGAGATGTCATTTCTAAATGTACTTTTGAAATGCCTCACAGCATGGCCTCCAAGGTGGCTTTTTTAAAAAGCAGAATTATAGTGAGCCCTCTGTATCTGCAAATTCTGCATCCATGGATCCCACCAACTACAGACAGAAAATATTTAGAAAAATATTGTGTCTGTTCAAAATACAAACAAACGTTTTTCTTATTTTTCCCTAAATAATACAGTAAAATGATTGTTACATGACACTTACATTGCATTACATATTATTAGAGGTGGTTATAATATATATCATATATATTAGTGATGGCTTAAAGTATACAAGAGGATGAGTGTAAGTTATATGCAAATACTACATCTCTTCTTTTTTCCAATATTGAAAATGGAACCATGGATGTTCTACCACTGAACTATATCCCCAGCCCTTTTTATTTTTTGTTTTGAGATGAGGTCTTGCTAGGTTTCCAGGCTGGCCCCAACCTCACCAACCTTCAACCTCAGCCTCCTGAGTAAATTGGGTAATAGGTGTGCATCACTGCCCAGCCAATACTACATTTTTTTAAATAAAAGGGACTTGAGCATCTATGCATTCTAGTATCCACAGAGATCTTGGAACCACTTCCCATGGATATCAAGGGAAAACTATACCGACCACTCTGAAAGTCAGAATAGAAACATGAGAGTTGGGTCCTGGTGTCCCTTAAACCTGGAAAGTGTGGGCATGTGATCAGCCCCTTGGGAGTCCAGCAAAGCCTGTGTTTTTTCATCACCACATCCCAGGCTACTCTCTAAAAGCCTCACACTGAGGAGAAGTGACAGAGCCTTTAGCACTTTCTTTCTTTTTTTTTTAATTATTTTTTATTGGTTGTTCAAAACATTACAAAGCTCTTGACATATCATATTTCATACATTAGATTCAAGTTGGTTATGAACTCCCAATTTTACCCCAAATACAGATTGCAGAATCACATTGGTTACACATACACATTTTTACATAATGCCCTATTAGTAACTGTTGTATTCTGCTACCTTTCCTATCCTCTACTATCCCCCCTCCCCTCCCCTCCCATCTTCTCTCTCTACCCCATCTACTGTAATTCATTTCTCTCCTTGTTTATTTTCCCTTCCCCTCACAACCTCTTATATGTAATTTTGTATAACAATGAGGGTCTCCCTCCATTACCATGCAATTTCCCTTTTCTCTCCCTTTCCCTCCCACCTCATGACTCTGTTTAATGTTAATCTTTTCTTCCTGCTCTTCCTCCCTGCTCTGTTCTTAGTTGCTCTCATTATATCAACGAAGACATTTGGTATTTGTTTTTTAGGGATTGGCTAGCTTCACTAAGCATAATCTGCTCTAGTGCCATCCATTTCCCTGCAAATTCCATGATTTTGTCATTTTTCATGAAATTCATATGGAAAAATAAAAGACCCAGAATAGCAAAAGCAATTCTAAGCAGGAAGTGTGAATCAGGCGGTATAGCAATACCAGATTTCAAACTATATTACAGAGCAATAGTAACAAAAACAGCATGGTACTGGTACCAAAACAGGCGGGTGGACCAATGGTACAGAATAGAGGACACAGAGACTAATCCACAAAGCTACAACTACCTTATATTTGATAAAGGAGCTAAAAGCATGCAATGGAGGAAGGATAGCATCTTCAACAAATGATGTTGGGAAAACTGGAAATTCATATGCAACAAAATGAAACTGAATCCCCTCCTCTCGCCATGCACAAAAGTTAACTCAAAGTGGATCAAGGACCTAGGTATCAAATCAGAGACTCTGCGTCTGATAGAAGAAAAAGTTGGCTCCGATCTACATATTGTGGGGTCGGGCTCCAAATTCCTTAACAGGACACCCATAGCACAAGAGTTAATAACAAGAATCAACAAATGGGACTTACTTAAACTGAAAAGTTTTTTCTCAGCAAGAGAAACAATAAGAGATGTAAATAGGGAGCCTACATCATGGGAACAAATTTTTACTCCTCACACTTCAGATAGAGCCCTAATATCCAGAGTATACAAAGAACTCAAAAAATTAGACAATAAGATAACAAATAACTCAATCAACAAATGGGCCAAGGACCTGAACAGACACTTCTCAGAGGAGGACATACAATCAATCAACAAGTACATGAAAAAATGCTCACCATCTCTAGCAGTCAGAGAAATGCAAATCAAAACCACCCTAAGATACCATCTCACTCCAGTAAGATTGGCAGCCATTATGAAATCAAACAACAATAAGTGCTGGCGAGGATGTGGGGAAAAGGGTACCCTTGTACATTGCTGGTGGGACTGCAAACTGGTGCCGCCAATTTGGAAAGCAGTATGGAGATTCCTGGGAAAGCTGGGAATAGAACCACCATTTGACCCAGCTATTGCCCTTCTCGGACTATTCCCTGAAGACCTTAAAAGAGCGTACTACAGGGATACTGCCACATCGATGTTCATAGCAACACAATTCACAATTGCTAGACTGTGGAACCAACCCAGATGCCCTTCAATAGAGGAATGGATAAAAAAAATGTGGCATTTGCCTTTAGCACTTTCTTGCCCTGTGTTTTTGTATGGTTGGATGAAGATGAAAGGTACATTCCTAGTACCTTCATCTCTGTCAAAAGCAGGGAAATGAAAAACTCAGCTCTCCTCTAGGCTGTGACTTCTTAACAGTCCCCAGCCCCATCATACTCTTGTCCCTGTAGACATCTTCCAGTCTCCCAGACAGGAGTTAGGCTTAGGTCATCCTGTCCCAGAAACTTTGACAGTGCCAGAGTCCAAGAGCAGAATGGGTTCTGTGCCAGGATGCCCCCCATTTCAGGGCAAATTGTGGGGGTCCTCTCCCTTCTGTCCACCTTCTTTTCTGTAACCAAATCCCAGGCAACCCATGCTAGGTGTCCCCTTAACTGTTGCATGAGCCTGAGGACCTCTAGCTATGGACCTGATGCAGGATGAGGAGACCTACATGTACCTAGGCAATGGGAATAGACGTAGGCAGGGAAACTGAGGCAGAAGTGCATGCCTAGACCAAAGGCAGGAAGGGGAAATCTGACACAGAAGCCATTCCAGCCTCCTCCCACAGCTAGCCTGCCACAGGTTTGGCTCTTATGTCAGGTCTCCACCAGCTGGATCTTCCAGGAAGGCATCTTATTGGCCCAGACTTGGCTGGTGCCCACCTCTTGGCCAGGGGAGGATGGTGCCTCCACTGACTATCTCAGCAAGACAGTTGCTTTTTCATCAGAGAATGATATTATTTCCCAAAGCAAAACTCTAAAGGTCTAGCCAGAGAGAAAAAAAAAAAAACTGGATGCTAAGAAGGCAAATCAAACAGACAGAAGCTCTAGGAGGGGCAAATTTGGGTCCAAGCTCAGGTCTAGGATGGAAAGAGAACTAGACCCTCGGAGGGGCTGCAGGAGGCTCAAGATTGACATGTGGTACTTGGCTCTGCAGTACATATACTAAAGTTGAAACGATACAGAGATCAGCATGGCCCCTGCACAAGGATGACAGGCAGATTAATGAAGCATTCCATATTAAAAAAAAAAAATATGTGTGGGATAACCTTGGCACAGGGCCCTGGGGACCCAAACACATTGCTTGGGGAACTGGCCTGTCCCAGGAGGGCTGTTGTAACCAAAAGGCCAGCTAATATGTCCTCCTCTGTTCATGTCCAGGGCACACTCAGGAGTTTGACTGTGTCCTTTTAGCTCTGTAGCTTGGGGACAGAAGCATCAATGCCTATGTGGGTGATTGGCAAGAACAAGGAGTGGACCTCAGAAACACCTGTCTATTCTCAAATTGCATCTCTGCCAGGTATACTTGGCATGTGAGCTGGCTGCCTGCCTTTCACTCTCTAAGCCTCAGTTTCCTTACATGTGGGGTGGGAGAGCTATAGGATGATTTGGAGGTCAGGCAGAGAGGAATGGCCCTGTGAACTCTCCCGGGCCAGGTCCTCAAGCATTAGCCCAGCTCCTCCCTCGCACTGGCCCCACTGCTTGAATGCCTGGCATGTTCGCCAGCTCTTCATCTCCATCTGCACTAATTTGTCTTCAACAACTCTTACCTGTATCACGGGAGTCACTTAAACACGACACGTCTTTACTAAGCACGCTATGTTCTGGGTACAGGGTCAGGCCTTTGGGGTGTAACAGTGAGCAAGCCAGTCTCCTTTTAGAGAGCATAGCAAGATTAAAGCCAGTGTGGGGTCTTGGGGGATGGAGAGTTGGGATCTTGGGGAGTCACGAGGGGGCAGCCTGGACAAGACCATCGATGTGTGTTTGAGCTTGTCAAGGAATTCACCCCGGTCATAGGGGACCCTCGCCAGGGGTGGTCAAAAAGTAGACTTTGCAGCTCAAACCTTGGCTCAGCCACTTCAGTTTTGTGCCAGAGCAAGGCATTACTTCTCGGTAAATGTCCCCTTGGTATCCTTGTCACAGGGTGGGCATGTACCCCCAACCCTACTCACCATTCACACAGCCCCAAAATATGTCCAGGTGTTCCTGGGGTCTTTCATCCTGGAGGCTGCATCTGAGCACCCAGCTTTACATTCAGCTTGAATGAATGACACTAAAATAATAACAGGGCAAGCAGAGGGCATGTCAACGATGCATTTGTCAGTGCCCCAGTACAGTCTTTGCCCACATGAACATTATCATTTGTATCCTGTGCAATTTTCTCTCCTGCTGTTTTAATCTCATTATGCCATAACCATTTTCTTTGTTATTACTGGACGTTCATAACCATAATTTCAACAGCAAAAGAAAATCCACCGATGGGTGTGTGATTGTCTCCTTGTCTGTTCTTGTTCATCATCTTACAGCATTCTAGACTGAGTTCGCTGTTTACAATTAATATAAAGCAAATAATTTTTTCCAGAGCTTTTTTCCTCTAGGTTAATCTCATGGAGTAAATTGCCAAGAATTTGATGAGGGTGAAAAGACCTAAGAACATAAGGATCTTGGCACATCAATCTTGATACAATTTAAAGGGAGTGTGACACTGTACACCTCACCTCCAGTAATGTTTCAGTGGCTACTCCAACATGCCTGCCAGCATTGGTTATTTTATTGTCTTATTTATTTCATGGATACTGCTATAGTTTGGATCTTAAGTTTTCCCCAAAGGTCCACATGTTAAAGATTTTGTCCCCAGCATCGTGCTATTGGGAAGGAATAAAAAATTTTTAAATTATTATTATTATTATTATTTCTTGCCAGGTGTGGTGGCTCACACTTGTAATCCCAGCATCTCAGGAGAATCATGAGTTCAAAACCAGCCTCTGCAAATTGGCAAGGCCCTAAACAACTTAGCAAGACTCTGTCTCAAAACAAAAAGTGCTGGGATGTGACTCAGTGGTTAAGCACTCTTGGGTTCAATCCGATGTACCCCCACCCCCAAAAAAAAAAGACTAAATACTAATCCATTTGTATGGATAGACTACATTTTATTTATCCATCAGTGGACACTTCAACTGCTTTATCATTGACTTTGGATTTTTTTAAGTGCTGTTGATCAAACCCAGAGCTTTGAGCATGCTAAGCGAGTACTCTACTACTGAGCCATATCCCCAGACTTCATCACTGGCTTTTAAAATTACTCTCAGATGCCTGGTGTAGTGGTGCACATCTGTAATTTCAGCTACTTGGGAGGATGAAGCAGGAGGATCACAAGTTCAAGGTTGGCCTGGTAAACTTAGCAAGACCCTGTCTGAAAATTTAAAAAAAAATAAAAATAAAAAGGGATGGGGTAGAGCATCCTAGACTCAGTCTCTAATATCACAAAAATTAAAAAATTACTCCAGGATATTCAAACAATGGAATATTATGAGGCAGAAAAAAAGTCTCCTGTCCTGCTATGGAAAGATCTCCCAAATGCATTGTTAATGGAAAGAGACCAGCACAGGACAGTGTGGATTCGCTGCTAGTTTTTTGTATAATAAAGAGGGGGACTATATATATTTATATTTCCTTGTCCTTGTCCAAAACTAATGAAAGCAAGTACAAGAGGGGTTGGGCTGAGACTTCCACCTCCACAGGCCTCTTTGGCTGTGGTTTTGCACACAGGAACATGATGCACCCCATCATTCTGCATTCTCCCTGATCTCCAGTGGTGGCAGCTCTTATCTCATTTTCTCTTGAATAGTCTCCTGAGATCATCCAACCACAACCAGAGAGTTGCCACTCCTGAAAGAGCATGTTCCCCAGTGGGACAGTCTCTATGCATAATTTTGCCTGTATATTGTCAGCTTTCCTTCACCAGCCCCATGAGGCTGTGCTTTGACCCTCAGTGCCTAGAATGGTGCCAGGAGTCCCTCCATGCATGTATGCAATACCCCTGACAAGCAGAAGAAACCCAGGCCTGGGACCAGCTGGAGACACAATGGGTATTTGGAGGTCAGAGGGCTCCCAGCAGCCCGTCCCCTCTTTATGCATCCCTATGGGTCATGATGGTTTTGCAACTCTCAACCCCAGTCCCCAGGCTGATCTAGCTGCTCCAAAGCACTGCTGAGCCTGAGAACCATCCTTACCAACCCAACCCCATCCATTGTGCCCAGTGCCCTGCATAGAGCGCCCAGTTCCAGGCCACCCCCCCCAAGGTACTCTGAGAGCTTCCAGGGTCACTTCTTGAAGGACTCTTACTCAGAAGGGCCCCTCTCTGGCTCCTTCCACCATCTGCCCTGCCCTGCAGAGAAGTTCCCAGTTCACTTCTAGCCCCAGTACTGGCTGATCTATCTTTGAGAAAATTGGACTGGGATCTGGGGAAGGCTCGATGCTGCACTGGAAAGAAGTGTCAGGCAACTGGTGGGATGGAACAGAACTTGACAGCTGATGAGTTATCTGTCCTGTGGAATTACTCAGGCACTGAGCTCTGAACATGAGGCAGAGCCAGAGCACCCTGCAGAGCTGGCCACCACTCCCCGCTGAGCATCTGCAGCTCCCTATGTACCCACATATGCATCAGCCACCCCACTGGGAAAGACAGGAGGTGATTTTGTGAAATGTTAGTTTCATCAGCTGAAAATTGAATGCTTACAGCTTAGCTGGGGATGTGAAAATAAAGCTGTGATTGTCACCGGGGTCAGGACTATGCAGAATGCCATCACACAGATGCCAATCCCTCCCCATGCTGTAGCCCAGTCCCAGTTCCTCTCATAACCACAGGCCAATGGGACAGTCCTCTGAGGGGTTCCCTTTGATCCCCTATATCATCTCTGACTTCCCATGTCCTTCTGTCTCTACTTTTAGGGCAGAGTCACTCAGGGGCTAAAAGAGACAGAAATTAATTAGGGTCTGCTTTGGGGGCAGAAGAGACAGGGCAAGCAGGGGACTCTGTGAGTCCTGTGGTGAGCTCACAGGACTCTGTGATTGAGAATGTAGGGGTGACCCCAACATCTAGGGTGGGGACTGGTTGAACAGTCACAGGCTTGCTCAAGACATGTCACCAACATGAAGGCCTCTTCCCTTTCAAGGAAGACTAGCCTACAGGAATGTGTGGAAGAGACTCAGAGAGAAAACACAGGCTTCCTGAACATGGAATATAGGGAAGCCAGGTCACAGAGGATACACTCTGGTGTTTGTCTAAAGGAGGTTTGGATGAAGATGACAGAATAACAGCCACAGCTGATCTATCTCCAGGTCAGATACAGAAAAGCAGTGCCTCAGACCTCTGACAAGGCTAACAAGGAGAGTCCACTGATGCCAATCAGAGGTCAGGAATCACGTTGGGACAGGGGGACACTGAGGGAAGCAGAGAAGACCCAACTAAGAAGGGGGCATTTCAACCATGTCTAGAGGGATGGAAGAGTGAAGATGATAGGGAAGCCACCCTTCAGGGGGAACAATGTGTATGGTGGCTCAGAGTTGGAGAAAGCATTGTAGTAGAGTACGTGGCTGGTGCCAGCAGCATGCACTGGAAGGTGATAGGAGGTGATGCTGGACAGATCAGCTGGTCCAAATCACAAAAATGCTGGGATGCTGGGTACAGAGGGCAGTGGTTTTGAATATTCCTGAGAGCACTCCAACTTAAATAGGTATACATATGGAAAAGTCCACAGAGCAACTTCAGGCATAATAGAATCTCCAATGCTGTTTCCCACTTTCCTAGTCCTTAATAGTGATACCAGCTCAGGGGCCCCAGAGGAAAGAGAGCTTCCAAGTGCCAAAGAAGTTCTGGGGTTGTGCCTGAGCCCCCAAATTTTGATCAGGCATCTTTGCAGCCAGCGGCAGGAGAAAATATGCTGATTGTACAAGACTTGTCAAAATCAGCCGTCAGGGAGAGAAACTGGAAGTAGAAAAGAAGTGTTTGGCTCCTGGGGGAGAGTTGAAGGGTTTAACAAGGAGAACAGATGCTGTACTATGAGGTAGGAGGACCCTGGCAGCCTGCCCAGGAAGCGATCACTGGATTTAAGAGATCACACAGAGGTGAATATGGAAGGCAGAGTCCTTCCAGCTTGGAACCAGCGAACCAGTAGGCTCCCCGCTCAGCTGCACCCCCAATTGCTCCTTGCCATTGCAGGCAGGCATGCCCCGGACCCTGAGCACCTCCGACATGGTCACCCCAGGCAGACTCAGCCCACCCCCTACAGAGCCCACCGATGTCGAGCAGGCTGGGCAGCCCTTCCTGGATGGAGCACCATCCTCAGCCTCTCTGGACACCCTGATTCAGCATCTGGTACCCACAGCTGACTACTACCCAGAGGTGGGTGAGCCACCCAGTGGGGAGGAAGGGGAGAGGGGAAGGAAGAAGGGAGGCTCTCTCCTTCACTCAGGAATGGAGCATGCAGCAGGGCTGGGAGTGACCTTGGGCCTGGCGAGGTGGAACAGGCTGGAAATATGTCCTCCCTCCGTGCCCTCTTGTGCTTGTGCCTTCTTTCTTGCAGAAAGCTTATATCTTCACCTTCCTACTGAGCTCTCGCCTCTTCATCGAGCCTCGGGAGCTCCTGGCCAGGGTCTGCCACCTCTGTATTGAACAGCAGCAGCTGGACAAACCAGTACTGGACAAGGTGAGGGCCTGGAAGACCAGGGAGCCTCTGAAATCAACCTCTCGGGGAGGCAGTGATTGTCCCTGTTCTCCTGACAAGAAGCCTATTGGGCTTTCTCACTTGTCTGCAGTCCAGGCCCTAAAAGGACAGAGCCAAGGCCTTTTCTGCTATGCAGTTTTCCGGGGCTTTGTGGAAACCCTTGAGCTCACATTGAACCCAGTCCTAGGTTTCCAAAACCCAGTGAATAGTATTCCTGCTCTCTGTGAACTGGGATGGTCCTATGGCCTCCACTAGACTTCCTTCACCCAGTACACTCGATTCCATGTCCCTGCTCTCTGGCGTCTGTTGATAGCCCAGCCTTCCCATGGTTCTTCACATCTTTCCTCTGTTACTGGCCTGATCCTGCCTACTGTCACTATTTATATGCATGTCAGTTAGGTTGTACTGTGATGATGATAAAAACTCGGCTTCAACTGGCCTAAGGCAAGCGGTTCATTTAACTGCCAAGTCTCTGGTACTGCTGCCTCCAGAGGATTAAATGACAGCATTAAAACCTTATCTTCCTCATTCTGACCCTCTGCTGTGGTTTTCTCTGGGTTTGCTGGCCTCATTCTAGCTCTTGCAGGTTCTCCTGCATGGTGACACGCAGCCTCTATCAGCAGGGACACCTTCTAATCTCAAGAACTAGCCCCTTTCTCCACAGGCCAGTAAAAGTCCCAATCTCATTGACCTAGCTTAGGTCACATGCCCACCTGTGAGCCAATTATTACATAAGATGGTGTTTTCTGCTCTGATTGGCCAGCGCTGAACCCCAGGTTCCACCCCTGGGGCAAAGTCAGCTGTTCTAGAACACAGTGTGCCTGAATGAGCAGGGAAAATTGAGATGCTGTCACCATAGAAAGGGAGAAGGGATGCCAGGAAAGCAAAATAGTCTGGCCCCAAAATATGTGTCTGATCCCCTCTTGCTCCCCCATAGTGCAGCCTAGGCCTCTCCCCTCCCTTCCCAGTGCCCTATCCCTGTTGCCCCTCTGCTTGCCTTGCAGGCCCGTGTTCGGAAGTTTGGCCCCAAACTGCTCCAACTACTGGCCGAGTGGACAGAGACCTTCCCGCGGGACTTCCAGGAGGAGTCGGCCATCGGGCATCTGAAAGATGTGGTGGGCCGCATAGCCCCCTGTGATGAGGTGGGCAAGCCTGGATAGAAGTCACTTTGCCTTCTCTGCCCCCTCATATCCAGGCCTGAGCCTGTTTCTTGTGGCTTCCTAGGTCCCCTGATCTCCCAGCTTTGCACACTGCATGCTGTAAAACCAGCCCCTTTGTGACCCATCAAGGAATCAGGTACTGAGGGGCTATGAGCTAATCCAGGCCTCTGGTTCCAGGACTGGTTTCTTGACCTCTCTGTGCCCTGTTCTCATTGACGGCATCAGGTGGCCAAGAAGGGAAGACCTACTCATGGGTTCTTGTGGATGCATAGTCAGGCTGTTGGTCTGTGACCCACCAGGCCACCTGGAAGGGCCACATCTTGGGCCTGTGCCACAGAGGTCTCCCTCCTGCCTCTGTGCTTGATCCATCTCAGGATTATGGGACATGGTTTAGGATGTAGAATAGAAAAAGGTCAGGGAAGAGTTGATGATTGGATGGATGGGAAAAGGAGAGAGTGGAAGCAGGGAAGAGGGATGCTGGCTAACTTGGTGGACAGTTAGGTGCTTTTATGGATGGATATAGGGGAGGATAGGTGCTTGAGTAATTTGCATAGGCAGGTGGATTAATGGAGTGAATGAATGTGGAAAGATTGATGGAAGGAAGGGAGATGAAAGGGGGGAAGGTGAGTGGATAGATGGGTGAAAAGGTGAATGAAGGGTGGGTGAATGGGTAAACATAGAAAGGTAGGAGGAAGAATAGATTAGTAAATTGGTGGATCTGTGGGTAAGTAACTGTAAAGGGGGAGGTGGGTGATAGCACATGAGTTAGGAAGAGATGGGTACAGGACTATGATAAGTGATGGTAAGTGGTGGATAGGTGGGTGGGTGGATGGGTAGATGGATGAGTGAGTGAGTGGATGAAGTAGGAAGGATAGATGAGTAAACTGATGGACCTGTGGGTACAGTGGTAACTGTCTGAAAGGGAAGGTGGATGATAGCACATGGGTAGAGAAGAGATGGTACAGGGATGGTGGGGAGCTGGATGGAGCAGAGTAAGTGAGGTGGGAGCTCCATCTCCTGCTTCATCCCCACTCCCTCCAAGATTTCTTTGGCAGCAGTGAGATCTGAATCATATGATGAGACAGGGTTATTTGCCCTTATCTGACCTGCCTGACATTGTCTCAGGTGCTAGGGGACAAGCTGGTTTTCCTTGGGAAGCCATGACCTCTTCACTATTCTGAGAGTGTCAGGCCTATCACCAAGACTATGTGGTGTGGACCAGAATGGGAGTTCCCTGGTCTCTATCCCATACCCCCAGGCCTAAGCCAGGGATGCTTCCTACGTCTTCACTGTCCCCAAGTCACTCTTCCACAGAAGGTATCCAATCTAAAGAGGATGTCCTCTCTGCACTGGTTCTCTATGCTGGATATTTCCTGGTGGGTGGCAGGTTGTTCCCCTCCCAGCACCACACAGGCTAGTATGGGAAGAGCAATGAAGCAGACTGTGAGTCAGTCCCATAGGGCTCAGAGCCAGGGGATTTAGGTCATATTACTTGAGCCCAGATCCAGTCTCAGAAACCACAGCCGTGTGGCTTTGGGCAAGGTACTTTGTCTCTCTGAGCTTCAGTTTTCTCATCAGTAAACCAGAGACATTCACCACTGCCACTATGCAACTTGGCAGCAAGGAGGTCTAAAGTTATTTCAGCACTTAGTAATTATGAGCTACAATGAGAGGCAAATTGTTCCTCAAATTCAGGCATATGAGAATTATTCTTTAACTTCCATGAAACATTTCAAAAATACCCAAGCATAAAGAAGAGTAACCATGAACTCCTCTGTACCCATCACTTATTCTCAACAGTTATCAAAACTTTGACAAACTTGTTTCCTCTGTGCCCTCACACACTTCCACCTCTCTATAAATTAGTTGTAACCAAATCAAGACGATTATATCTTTTGCTCCAAAAACATTTGCTCATTATTGTTTTGTTTTGTTTTGTGTATATGTGCTGGAAATCCAACTCAGGGCCTCCAGGGATGCCAAACACACATCTACCACTGAGCTCCACCCTCAGCCCTAGCATTGTGTTTATAAAAGATTTCTCACACAGGGAAAGAATTAAATGAAATAAAGTGCTGTGCACAAGGTCATGAGATGAGCATGGGTATTTTCAGAGCTACATATCTTTGAGCAAATTACTTAACCTCTCTGAACCTTGTGTTTCTTTCTATAAAAGGAAGAGTGATAATTCCTCCCTTATGGGACTATGGGAACAAAGGGACCCAGGGTTGTAGAGGAGACAGAATGGTTGGAGATGTCATAGAGGGTGAAACCAGAAAGCAAAGAGACATGATGAATGGTGTAGCCACTCAGGAGACACTGGCTGTGCATTGGAAACTGGAAGGAAATGTCAGGGCTCACAAGTGACTGTGTCACCAGGGCTGGCCATGCTGCATCTAACTTAACCATCTTCCCAGCACTCAATGAGAACCTACAAGGCAGCATTTTATTACACTTTTGGTGCAGTGTTGCTGAGAGAGGCCATTCCTTCGGTGAGCAACAGACAGAAGAGTCGGACCTCAGTCTACCCACTGACTGGTTATTTCCCAAATAACCAGTGGACACCTTCTGCGTCTGACCCCTGTAGCTCTAGGAGTTTGGGTTAGGTTTAGGATTAGAGTTAAGATTAGGATTAACTGCCAGGGGTAGAGGGCAGCAGTGAGGCTAGTCAGGTTAAGTGCGCTCTTATCCTGTCCCCTGTATCCTGAGGCTTTGCCATAACCACCCATGGCCACTTCACAGAGAAGTAGTTCCACGGACCAGAGAGGACAGCCTCACCATCACCACAGCACTGGGCACCAACAAACCTCAGACATCAGCAGCACTCATTAAACCCTAAGAGACTGCAAGGAACTGTTGAGGCCCAAAGCCACTCACAGCCCAGTAAGTCAGACACTGCATCTACAAAATGTCACTGGGTTTGTGCATTTCAAAATAGCATGAAGAAAAATTCACCTTTACTTTCTTAAATTACCTGACTATACCAACTATTCACTAGCCTATTGTTTTCTGAGACTTCTGGTCCCGGTTTGTCTAGTTGATGTTTCATCATTGCTGGGAGGCCATGAACTCGGCTCTCTCCTACTAGCACCCAAATCCTTGGTTCATAGGGAATTGCATGTTTCTCTAGGGGTGACATTTCCTACAGGCTCATGAGCTCAGGGGCCTGTTCTATGGGTTATTGACCCAAACCCTTGGGGATATGGATATTTCTCTTCCAGCCAGGATATTGGTATATTTCTTTAGAAATAGAGGTCTCTGAAGGGAAAAAATGATCACTTTCTCTTGGGAATAGAAGGGTAGGTTCCCCTTGGCCTACCCTGGAAGAAGGGCCATGGCCTTTCATCCTTCCATCCAGCCCAGGGCATGGTCCAGAGCAGGAATCCATCTGTCTGAGCTGAATGATGAAGGGACTCTGTTGGTAGGTTATTGAGCACCCACTACATTCACAGAACTGGGACAGACTCTGATAACATAGAGAAGACAACACAGAATTCCCTGCCTCTCTGGAACTGTCATTCTGGGGTTGTGGGGGAAGTGGGTAATAAACAAACCTGATTATCCCTGATAGTGATCCTATAAAAGAAGTCACATAGAGAGTTACAGAAAACTGCCAGGGTAGAGGGCAGCAGTGAGGCTGGTCAGGAAGTTCTCTCTGAGCTGGGCTTAAGATTTAGAAGGGGTCACTCTTAGAGCCAAGACAAGGGACAGTTATCCAGGGCAGGATCTGTTCCATGTCTTCCTTCCTCTCTTCCTTCCTTCCTCCAGATCCCTGGCAGCACACCCCCCATTCTGCCCAGCTGCCCAGACAGCGTGCTTTGAGCCCCACTGGCCTCCCTGATATGTGCTCTTCTCAGTTCCCACCAGTAATCCTGGAGCTTTCTCCTCAACTGGCCTTCACTTGACCCCAGCTCCCACATGCCTGGGGTTGATCCTATTTTAGGTTGAGGGCAGGTCCCAGCACATTTGCTGGTATCTGGCCTTTTCTGTAGAGCCCTAATGGACCCTGTCCACCTCAAAGGTAAAAATGGGTATTCAGACCTGAGCACCCTTTCTTACCCTCCCCCCATGCCCCACCAGGCCTACCGGAAGAGGATGCATCAGCTCCTGCAGGCCCTACACCAGAAGCTTGCAGCTTTGGGCCAGGGATCTGAAGGCTTCATGGGTGCTGACAAGCCCATCTCCTACAGAACCAAGCCACCGGCCTCCATCCATAGGGAGCTCCTTGGCATCTGTAGTGATCCCTACACGCTGGCCCAGCAGCTGACCCACGTGGAGCTGGTAAGCAGGCAATGCTGCTCTTTACCCAGGGCAGGAAACAACTGGGAATCCTACCCAATTGATGGGCCACCACTCGTCCCTCTGCCCTCCCTACTTGGTCTCAGGATAACCCTGGATCAGGCCCTTCACAGCACGGGCAGTCAGCATCTGAGACTATCCTGGAGCAGTGAGTTTCCCAACACTCCTGGAGCCTGGAACAGGAGGGCTGGAGGTGTCAGCCTCTGGCCTGTCTGAGGATTTAGCTCTTGAATGAAAGAACTGGGTTCACATTTCAGCTCTGATACCACCTGTTGGTGATATCAGTACTAGTGACTTCCCCATCCAGGGCTCACATGGACTCATTGCTCCCTGTTCAGCTTTCCAGAGCAGCTCCACAGGCTTTTTACCTGCTCATAAAGGGAATTTCTTTGCCCAGCCAAAGAAAGAGGAACAAGAGGAGTGGGTTTCTTCCCTTCTACACCTCCACCATTATGGCACTCTGTACTCGCCATAGTGCTTACATGCACTTCCCATTGCACTGCAGGGTTGAGAAATGTTACATGATTTGCCAGAGTTCACAAGCAGAAGGCACAGAGCCAGGATTTAGTTCTGACCCAGATACTATGCCTGGCCACCAGGTCTCCCTCCCCCACCCAAAGAGCTGGTCATTTCAATAACCTGATTTTGAGCCTGGTACATTGCTTCGTTTACCCACTCCTCCATGACCTGGGAAAGGAGGGGATCTCTCCTTCAGGGATGGTGTTGAACTCTGTGAAAACAGGATCTCTAAGCCCCCGTGTGAAGGGTGACTGCAAACAGATCCTCATGGTGGGGGGGTGGGAAGAAGGTCAGGGAGTCAGGCAGGAGCACCCACCCTACCACACCCCCAGCAAGCCCTTCTTCCCCAAACCTTCCGTTTTTCCGACCCTTCTCCCTTCTGATGCAGGAACGACTGCGACACATCGGACCTGAGGAGTTTGTCCAGGCTTTTGTGAACAAGGACCCTCTGGCCAGTACAAAGGTAGAAAGAAAGCTCTTGGACAAGCTGTCCCAGCAATGACCCTCCTCGCCCCCATCGTGTGGCAGCCACGGTAGGGGCGAACCCAGAGCGGGATGGAGGGACTTTGGAGGAGTCCTACCCACTCACTCACGCACCTCCAGCTGAGACCTCGATAGTCCCGCGTCTTGGGGAAGCCTAGAAGGCTAGACGTGCCCTGGGTGGGGAGAAGGGAGGACCGCGGAGGGAACCCCCGGCGCGCTCCAGGACCGCGCGGACCCTCGCTGTGCGTTTCGATGGGCGCTGATGCCCTCCAGCGGCCAGTCGGGGAAGCGCGGGCTGGTAGGTGCTGCGGGAAAAGGAAGGGAAGAAGGCGCTCAGGACACCGTCCCCCACACACCTGGATTTTGAGCCAGTCCTTCCCTTCTAAGGAGCCCAACCAGAGGGTCCCTGGTGCTTAACAACTGGCTAAATCCGAACCAAAACTGAAAACATTCTGTCTTGTACTCTCACACCTAATAAAAGAAGTACAAACTAAATTCTGTAGTATGTGATTGCATTTTCACCCTTTAGATAAGCAAAGATCACATAGTAGGATAGACATATTGGGGATATGTAGGAAAGCGGCATTCTCCTACACCATTGGTAGCGGATGAAATTGTCGCAAGGCTTTAGAGAGCAAATAGGCAATCGTAGATCAACAATTTAAACGTCCTTCTTGCCGGGCACAGTGGCGCGCGCCTGTAATCCCAGCGGCTCAGGAGGCTAAGGCGGGAGGGTCGCGCATTCAAAGCCACCCTCAGCAACTTAGTGAGGCCCTAAGCAACTCAGTGAGACTCTGTCTTTAAAGAATATAAAATTATAAGAGGGCTGGGATGTGGCTCAGTCGTTAAGTGCCCCTGGGTTCAATACCTGGTACCAAAAAAAAAAAAAAAAAAATGTACTTCCTTTGGCGGGGATGTAGCTGAGTTGTAGAGCACTTGCCTAGCACACATGAAACCCTGGGTTAGATCCCCAGCACCAAATAAATAAATGTACATCTTTGGTCCAACTTTCCACAGCTAGTAATTTATCTACACATTCATGTAACACAAAGATGAACATATACAAAGGTATTTGGGGTACATAGTATTTGTCATGGTCAAAGACTGGAAGCAAATAATTACCTTATCACCCGTGGACACTGACTTAAAAAGTATAGTACATCCATCAGTAGAATGCTTTCAAGTATGAAAAAGAATAAGGCTGCCCACAAGTATGCAGTCATCAAGATCCATCTATCCAATCACCAAGAGAAAGGGGTAGAGTGACAAACAGGGCATGTGACCATTTGTGTAACAACAAAAAAAGAAGGCTTTGTGATACATCAAAGCTCACACGTGTGCAGAAATGACCTCTAAAATGGGGAGGACAACCATGGAACCATGGGACTGAGGGCAATAGGAACAGGAAGGAGACTTGGCTACTTTTTGAGCGTGTGTGTGTGTGTGTGTGTGTGTGTTGTTTGGCCATTTACAAGTATTTCCTTTTTATTGTGAAATTCATCTAGATTACACATGACATTTATTTATCCCACCCAATTGTAGATGAACAGTTATCTTATTTCCTTCTTTTTGCTATTATAAATTATACTGCTGTGAGCATTCTTACATGCGTTTCCCTGGATACACCAGTGAACATTTTCTGTGGGGTACCACTTCTCTAATGTTTTGGGGTCAGGATCCCTTTATATTCTTAAAAATTATTAAAGACCCTAAAGAACTCTTGGTTAATAATTGATTACTTCTATCACTATCATATTAGCAATAAAACTGATTACTTTTTCTTTCTTCTTCTTTTTTCTTTTTTTTTTTTTTTATAGTGCTGGTGATCAAACCCAGGACCTTGTACATAATAGTCATGTGCTCTACTACTGAGCCAGACTCCCAATCCCAAAACTGATAACTTTTAAAAATATTTACTCACAAATACAATAACCCATTGCATGTGGACATAAGTAACATATTTCATTTAAAAAATTGCATTTTCTGCAATAGAAAATTCTTGAAAAGTGATGTTGTTTTATAAAATTTTTACAAATCTCTGTAATGTCTGACTTCATAGAAGACAGCTGATTTCTTTCATCTGCTTCTGTGTTCAGTCTCTTGACATATACTATTTTGGTTTAAGGAAATATAATCTCACATAGATATGTAGTTGGAAAATTGAGGAGTATTTTGACAGCCTTTTCAGATAATTGTGAATATTCTTGTTAGATACTGCACTAAAACTCAGCCAGTAATAGTTTTTAAAGATTAATTATAATGTGACATCTGAAAATATTATCAATGATCTTTCTGAATGCTATGACATCCATTACATCTTGCATCTTGAGGGTATGATTTTATAACATCATACATTGATCATTTAGAATATGAGGAAACGTTGAGTTAGGCAGATCTTCCAAATGTTGGCACATTTTATTGTATAGTACTTTAAAATCACATTCATTAATATCAAGAGAAAAGGGTAGAGTGATGAACAAGGTATGTATACACTCCTGATCTCATAATTTTAAAAAATGTCTGGAACTGCGGTATAGCTTAGTGGTAGAATGTATGCTGAGCATGCGCGAGGTCCTGGGCTTGATCCCCAGAACCACCAAAAAAAAAAAAAATGTTGTTTAAAATGTGTTTTTAAAATAATAAAAAAAAAAGAGTATGTAAATATTGAGAAGCTGTCAAGCCACATAAGCAGATACATGTTTTACAAGTTCCCAATTTTCTCTTGAAATCTTGAATTTTATCACTGGCAACAAATACTGGGATCTGTTTTCCTTGAAGTGACAGGTTCATTTTGTTCATTTTTAAGAAATATCAGCCAAATACTGAAATCTGGAGAATGAGAGTTTGTCTCATAGAGTTCATCTGTTAGTCTTTTTTTTAAGTAAAAACAGAATTCAGTGGAAACAATGGCCAGTTCAGTGCATGGGTGAGCCAAGTCCTGCCCTCAAGACAACCCCACACTTGAGTATACAGTGAAAGTGCTCGGTACTGATGCCCCATTTTGTCACACTTGAATAAGAAACATGTACTCACGGGCTGAGATTGAATAGAATAGTGTTGCCTCTTTAAGGACATCCATAAGTCACACTCCCCCCACCCCCCCCCCATTTTGCTGGGCAATTTTTCCCACCATTGCTTTTGCACCATCAGGGCAGACCTCAACACAGTGGGGAAAAGAATATGATCAAATTATTATGAAAATACTTTTCCCCAGAAAGTATACCAGGAACCCCGAGAAGTCTGTGGACAACACATTGAGGACTATTGCTCTTCCACATACCTAGGGAGGAGAATTACTATGTCACAGGGTAGGCACGTGGGCAGCCTTTCCAGGTAATGCCAGGTGAGGTAACCTCTTACCTCCCAGTAGGGAGGTATTCTTGTTCCACATCTTCAGTCTTGAAATTGTCAGACTTTTAAGTTTGGAAAATGGAGTATCTTTTCACCTGTTCTGGCCATTTCCATTTCCTCCTTTTGTGATATGCCCCATCTCTGACTTTTAGCCTGTTTTCTACTGGTGAATTTTCTTAAAAACTTTAAGGAATTTTTTGGTTTTGTTTTTACTTGAAATATGTCCTAGATACTAAACCTTTTATTTTCCTAGTTGTTTTCTTCGCTTCTCATTCTCATTACCATGGCTTTTGATGAACAAGAATTCTTAAGCTCCACCTAAATTTACTAAACTTTTCCTTCAGGATCCTCTGATCTGTGTCAGTACACGTTGTCTTCTTTACTATAGCATGACGATGTGTCTTCAGGTCCAGTAAAACAAATTCCCCAGGTTCTTCTTGAGGAATGGCGTGGCTATTTTGGGCCTTTTGCCTTTCCATTTAAATTTTAGAATCATCTGTCAAATTATATGAAAAGTCCTACCAAGATTTTGTTAGACTATATTAAATATGGATCAATTTGAGAAGAATTGACAGATTTATGTTATTGACTCTTTCAATCCATAAAAATAGTATGTACTTCTATTTCCTTAGGTTTATTATATATCTTTCAAATGGCTTATAATTTTCTCCATAAAAGTATTACACAGGTTTTGTTAGACTTTTGCCCTAGGTGCCTTATGTATACTTTTACTACTGCAAATGAAAAAAACCTATTTTCACAGATTATTTTAAAATGTGATTTTATATTTCTGGATGTTCAAAAAGAGTGCATATTCTCAAATAAATAAGCACAGGCTTCCATAATTACTCATTATCTCAACTATGTAGTAATTGCATTTTCTTTTTTATTGATTTTATTATTTTTTTAAATACACGACAACAGTGGAATGCATTACAATCCTTTTACACATATAGAGCACAATTTTTCGTATCTCTATATATAAAGTATGTTCACATCAATTTATGCCATTATACATATACTTTTTTGCATTACAATTCGTAATACACATATATACCACAATTTTTCATATCTAGTAATTGTATTTTCTATCTGCTTGTTTTGGGTATAAGAAATTAATTTACTTTTTAAAATATGTTTTTTAGTTATTGAGAGACCTTTATTTTAATTATCTATATGCATTGCTGAGAATCAAACCCAGTGTCTCACACATGCCAGGCAAGTGTGCTACTGCTAAGCCACAGCTCCAGCCCTGAAATTAATTTACTTTTATGTATCAATTTTATATCTGACAATATTGTAAAATCTTGCTAATTATATTAATGTGTCGCCATTCTTTGGAGGATTTCTTGTAGGCAGGCACATCATCTGCAAATACTTACATTTTGTTTCCTCCTTTCCAAGGCTTATTCTTTTTATTTTCATTGTAGTCGTAGAATAGAACTGACTTGAGGGCTGGGGTTGTGGCTCAATGGTAGAGTGCTTGCCTAGCACGTGTGAGTCCCTGGGTTCCATCCTCAGCACCACATAAAAATAAGTAAAAATGAAGTATTGTGTTCAACTACAACTAAAAAATAAATATTAAAAAAAGAACTGACTTGAGATGGACAGGAAAGGTAGATAAACTTTACTGTATCATTTTAAGTCTCTGAAATATTGAGAGTGTTAGTTGTTGCAGAATAACTCTGCCTGATCCAATAGAATTTGCTTTTCCTGTTTATTGTGCTAACCTGCACTTCTGGTACAAGGTCAAATAGAAGTGTTGATAGCTGACATCCTTCTTTTGTCCTGACTTTAATAGGAATGCTTTTAACCAGTCACAAAAGAGCATAATGTTTGTTATTGGATTTTTTTTTTTTAGATATGCGTTATCAGTTTAAGGAAGTACCCTGTTCCTTTCTAGTTTGCTTAGAGTTCTTATATGTATGGTTATTGAATTTCATCAAATTCTTTTTCTGAACCCTAATACTCTTATGTTCTCTTCTCCTTTAAAACTTTTAAGTGATTATTCATATTAGTTTTTTGAATTAATGTTGAATCAACCTTGCATTTCTAATATACAAAAAACTGGATAAATGAAGCCATTATTTTTTTTTTCAAACATGGCTAGATTTTGGTGTGCTAATGTTTTGGTTAGGATTTCTGCAATTGTATTCATGAGTGAAATTAATCTGTTATTTCCCTTTCTGACACTATTCTTGACTACTCTGTTTCTCTTTCCGTATTCTCTATTTTATATGAAATATTGGGGTACCTGTTCTTGGAGCATTTATAGAATTTACCACTGAGCCTCATTTGTTATTTGAGGTTTTATATACTGATCCAAGGTTTTTCTTGTTTCTATGTTTATTCTAGTTGTTGTTTTAGTGGTTGTAGGACTGCTTATATTTTTATATCTTATAAGTCCATTTTATAATTTATATTCTTTTGAGAATTTGCCCATTTCCCCTAAGCTTTCACACTTATAGACATAAAGTTATACATAGATAATACTTCTTTAATTATCCCTTACATTTCTTCACATCCATATTGATTTATCTTTAATATCCTTTGCTATATATTTCTCTTTGTTTCTTCATCAGTATTTCCAAAATTCATCAATTTTATTAGTCTTCAAATAAAAAGCTTTTGACTGTTGTTTCTGAATATTGCAGCTTTCTTTACTATTGCATTTATTTCTTCTCCAATCTTTACCATTTTCTTCCATTGACTTTCTTTAGATTTATTCTGTTGTTCTTTTTATAATTTCTAATGTTGGATTTCAGCTTATTTTTATCCTTTCTTCTATTCTAGTGAAAGCATAAAAGACTATTCATTCACCTTTCTGATTACTTTGCCTCCATATTTTGACCCTATTTTACCCAGAGTTTAGACTTCTGACATATCCCTGATGAACTGAAACTTTATCGTTGTGGAGTTAGTCTTTTATCTCTTCTAATACTTTTGGTCGTAGATTCCTTTTTCCTTTTTGCTTTAAAATCTCTTTTGTCTGACATTAATGAAGATGCTGCTTGGCTTGAGATGGAGTTACATCCTGATAAACCTATTATAAAGTTGAGAAAATGTTAAGTCAAAACATCAAAAGTTGGGAACCATCTAAATAGCTATGTGATATTTATCACATATATTTTTCTATTATTTGCCCTTGAATTTGGGGCATGTTCTTGAAATTGACAAGAAACTGGAATTTTAAAAAATTAAAAGATTGAGGGTGGGGATATGGCTCAAGCAGTAGCGCGCTCGCCTGGCATGTGTGCAGCCCGGGTTCGATCCTCAGCACCACATACAAACAAAGATGTTGTGTCTGCCGAAAACTAAAAAATAAATATTAAAAAATTCTCTCTCTCTCTCTTTAAAAAAAATTAAAAGATTGAGCTTATTAATCCATAAGGATTTACTCTTACTGCCTTCTCTTACACTATCTATTTGTCTCCTTTACATTTTCTATTTCTTTCTCCTTTCTTTACATCTTTTGGATTAATAGATTTTATAGATGTGCATTTAAGGAAGTACCCTTTCCTTCCTAGTTTGCTTAGAGTTCTTATATGAACTTTAATTCATTTAATCCTCCCCCCCTCTGTTTATTGAAAGTTATCCTGGCAGTTTTAGCATGCACATTTAAGTTTAATCTGTTAAGCTCGGGTATATGTATACATGAATGTTCTACACCAATTTTATTTTATTTTTCTACACAAATTTTAAAATTATGTCTTCAAAGGATATTTTTTGACCCACGAAAAGATTAATGTGGAAACATATATGTATAATTATAGATACATGCATATATTCCCATGAAGACTTGATTCTCCTTATTTGCAGTAGTTGTGTTCTATAATATCATCTCAGACATTGAATCAGCAAATACTGAACACTTACTTTTAGGGCAAATACAGGGTTACGTTCCTGCAAGATTCTTATCACATTTTGTCAACCTATCAATGTATATAACCCTGTTTTACATGTTTAAAGACACCTTATTTCATATATATGAATATATATCATTGATTAACATTGAACGCATGACCAATAGTACAATATGATTCATGAATATTATCAAATAATTTAATTCAAGCTTCCATATTTGTTCTTTACCTCAACTATATAAATATATTTTCTCTGTAGTAAGGCACTTCAGCACTATGCTTGGGAACTTTATTAAACATTTAAATAATTCCCCCCAAAAAGCACAAAAATTGGTGGGGGGGAGACTCTAAATAGTCTAAATAGGAAACAGGATACTTACAGTGTGAGGGCTGAAATAAGAAGGCAGAGTGTCCTTTAGTTCAGCCTCAACTGGAAACACTTATGAGTATTGAGTGACAAATATTTTGGCTCCTCTGCACATACGCATAAATGACCATGAAAACCACACAAGCTATTGGGATTGCAAATAAAATTCAGGAAGTAGGCAAATTTGCAAGTATAAAATCCATGAACAATGAAGATCAAGTGTGTCTGTGTATGTGTGTATGCACACACACATAATTTTGAAATACACCCTTAAATATATAGAAAAGAGATTGGAAAGCTACATACCAAATCATTGGTGTTTCCAGATGGTTTTGAGATTTTCACATTGTCCAGATTGTCTATAACCATGAACTGACTTCATGTTCTAATGAGTTACTGACAGAGACTCAGCATGGGGTCCTGTGTGTCTCTTCTAGCCCTGTTTCAATGACAAGACTAACAACCTGGAGGCTTATGTGAAATGGTTCAACAGGCTGTGCTACCTTGTGGCAACTGAGATCTGCATGGTGAGTAGAAAGCCAGGGTGGGCATGACCTGGTATAGGCAAAAGTGGCCTGGGATCTGGAGGCGCCTATCAGGGAGGGAACTAGAAGGTCACCTTAAGCCCCAATAGTCTCCTGGCAGTTAAATCTTGACTAAGTCCACCTGAGGATTGGCTAGGCACCAAGTGTCACCAAGCTTTCTTGCAGTGACATTTCCCTCAGGGTAGAACCCAGGATGGACCCACTGAGCTCTGTCAGCAAGGAAATCAGAATATTTGCTCAAGGAGTGAGGAGTAGTCACAACTATGCCCAAGGGGCTCTACTGCCTCCATCCATGCCTGTCTTTCCACCCCAGGCAGCCTGGCCTGCAGTGAGGTTTGATTTGGCTTTCTCAGGATTGAGAAGTTGTCCGATTCTTAAGAAATAGGAGAGTACATATAAAAAGTCCAGGTCATTGGCTTCCCCTGGAAAGCAAGGAATCTTGACAACATGGAGCTGGACATGCTTGTCACTGAGTTGAGGGTCCACCTGGCCATGCCTGCCCATCGTCTTTCTTATAGCAGAGGAATCATCCTCTGGACCCACACCGGCATCATAAGGTGAAGCCCTGAGGCCCCTGTCTCAAGAACAGATTGGACAGACTCAGTCTATAAGGCCAGCTGGGCTCACTGGAAGCAGGTGCTCAGAGAGCTTGGGGAACAGATGTGAATGAGTATAGGGGAATCAGGATGCACTGAGGAAGAAGCTGATCTGCAATGCCCACATAGACTGAGGTGGTTTTCTCCCACACCTGGTTTGAGATCAGTATTACCCAGAGGGTTGCCCTTTTGAAGGATAGGATCAATGATAGGTGGCTCTCCAAAGCCAAAGTCACATCTTGAAGGGGGCTTGTGGCATGTCCCCACAGGGGCCAGAGCAAACTTCTTGGTGGCAATAGATAATTGCTGCATGTTTCATAGGCAAGGAAAGTCTACTTGTGGAAAAAAAAATACAATATAGGGTACCACTGACCCAACCCTCTTCCTAGAATCATGCCATTGTTCTGACAGTTAAAAGGGGATTTTATCGTTGTGAAGCCTGGACTAAGCCCACATGGTCACCCAGGAGCCTACCCAGGACAGTGCAGGATGGATGGCTCAGGGGAAGGTCACAGTTTGTTTCTGAGCCATGCAGTGGAGGGGCTAAGGGGACAGGGCCTCAGGATCAGCATGTGACCCCTAGTGAGGGGAGAGCAAGCTCAATACTGGGAGGAAAGGCAAGGGGCAATGTGTTCTGATTTGGGAAAAGAACAGGTGCTAGAGGTGGGCCTTGAGGAAGAGTGATCAAGCTGCTCCCAGAGGTGCCTCACAGCCCATCCTGTGCTGCAAGTCACTCCTGTACCCCCACAGGAGCTCTAGCAGGGCTCAGCTGAGTCTCCCTGGCAGTGGACTATGTCCTGCTCTGCCTGTGAAGTGCTCTGAAACCTTAAGGTTCAGACATTTCCCTGGGCCTCAGCTGTGAAATAGATTTGAAGAAGGTTAAGAGGGCAGGGCAGGTGAGCAGGGTGTCTGATCAGGGCAGAGTAGAAACATATCACTAAGGCTCTGGTGCCCTGTCCCCAGCCAGCCAAGAAGAAGCAGAGGGCCCAGGTGATCGAGTTCTTCATTGACGTGGCCCGAGAGTGCTTCAACATTGGCAACTTCAACTCCCTGATGGCCATTATATGTGAGTGGGTTGCTCCAGGAGCCCCCCCCCCCATGGGAGGATCCTCAAAGAGGTTCAAGTGGGCACAGCCAGGCAGGTGGGGTCAAGCCCAGACCCTCTTCTGAGCAGCAGGTGGGTGTGGGCTTAGCAGTTTGCAGCCTAAGGCAGCCAGCAATCCCATGTCCCTGCCCCAAAGGCCTGGAGAAAGCACCTCTTTTGAGGCAAACTCAGCCTCCTTAGGGTGCTTGGTGAGGGCTTGGCAACATATCCCCAGATCCAAAAAGAATGAGAAGGAACTAGCTCCAGGATGGGGCCTGTATGGTGGGAACATGGTCAGAGTTTACACACACACAAGCTGGACCCACATTGTCCATTACTACATGCCCATTGTCTCCCAAGCTGAGGCCACTGCAGACCTTAGCCCTACTTAGGACTCAGCCTAAATGGCTGGGCAACTGCAGCTACACACTGACCTCCCTGCTCATGAGCGTGAGGGGGACTGTCCAGGCCAGAGAAGCCCTCCCCAGCCCAGCCCTCCCTCTTCCAGCTGGCATGAACATGAGCCCTGTCTCCAGACTGAAGAAGACTTGGGCCAAAGTGAAGACAGCCAAGTTTTTTATCCTGGAGGTAAACAAGGTTACTGGGCTAAGGGGTTCAGCCAGCCGGCCCATGAAAAGAGGTGCCCAAATGCCTCCCTGTCTTCTTCCAGCACCAGATGGACCCAACAGGGAATTTCTGCAACTACAGGACAGCCTTGCGAGGGGCAGCCCACCGCTCCCTGACTGCCCACAGCAGCCGGGAGAAGGTAGGTGAGAATCCTTGATGGTCAAAGTCCAGGTGTGCTGTATCAATGGGTTAGTCAGCTTTCTGTTACTATAACAAATAGCTAAGATAATCAACTTATAAAGAGAAAAGATTTATTTTGGCTCAGTTGTAGAGGTTTCCTTCTATGATAAGTTAGCCTATGATAAGTTTTGAGTCTATGGCAGTGGTGAAGGAAATCCACTCATCTCATGGCCAGGAGCCAAAGAGAGAGGACGAAGAGGGTAAAGCTTCACAGTCTCCTTCAAGGTCATGTCTCAGTGACCTAAAGACCCACAGCTCTACCACCTCCTCCCCCGGGGGTAAGCCTTTACCACATGGACATTTGGGGGACAGTTGTGATCCAAACTACAGCAATCAGGGAATCTGGAGGTTGACTCAAAGATCACCGGGTCCAACCCCTTCCCTTCAGCAGCATCTATGATAGATAGCCATGTCACCTTGCTTGCATGCCGTCAGTGTGGCCAACTTCGCCACCTCCAAAACAGGTCATGCCCCACCCCAAGAAGCTCTGATGCCTTGAACTTCCTTGATAAGTGCTTCCTTGTGGGGCCAGACTTGGCCACCTCAGATCACATTCTCTTAAAGGGAACTACTCCCTCTTCTAGCTACCAGTCCTTTCACAGCCTGCGTGTCCCCACCATTGTTTGCCTCAATGGACAGTCCCAAGCCTAACTTGAGATTCCAGTCCCCTCCCTGCTATGACCCTGAAGAGCTCCATCTGTCAGAGTCCCTTCTGTTTCAGATCAAATTGTAGCTCCAAGCACAGAGGGTTTTACATCTGCCTTATTCTAAATGTAGTACCTCTATGTATGTGGCCTTAAATCACATTTTTGGCTTTGGCAATGACTATCCTAGGTTCTTGTTCACCCAAACTGCCTTTTCACAAGAAATGTCGTATACATTTGCATTTGGGAGGGCCTTTGCTGATCCTGATCAATTTTATTTCTCCTCTAAATTCTCCGATTGGCCTCTGATAGAGGATACTATACTGAGGTCCTAGGATTGCAACAATCATCTGGCTTAAAACTTGTCATCAAGTTTTAAGGAAGGAAACACCAAGACTTGTACCTTTGAAATTTGGTCTCTTGCAGGAACGTTGGTGGAATCAGGTCCCTACTGTGGTTGGTGGAGGTCTTATCTCCATCCTGAGAGATAACTAAGGGGAAAAATGCTAGATGAAATTCTACATCACTCTGGAATTGTATTGGATGGATACCAGTGGTCAAGTTTATGAAGCAGGCTGAAAAATATGTGCTTGTGCCACCCACCAGGACTTCCTGACCATCCACCCAGTGGGTCTTACAGCAGGGGTCACATGAGCAGACCCTGATGGCCATATGCTACCCAGCTGGTCCTTCTAGTACAGGCTGTGAGTTCTTCTGTGAATGAGTCCCAGGAGGGCTGATGGAATGCGGTGGAGCATTGAGTGAGGCAAGACCTCCAACCCCAGAGCAAAGGAGCCTGTCTCCTAGAAGCCAGAAATCCAGGAAGTTGGGATAGCAAGGGCAAAAATTTAACTTCACTGAGCACCTACCATCTGCAGGCCACCTGATCTCTATCCCCTCCTCCATTCTATGGGATGGGCTTCAGCATTGCCATTTCCCAGATTGGAAGACTGAGTCTCAAGGAGACCTCACTGTCCTATCACATTGTGAGCTAAGCCAGGAATCAAACTCTAACCTCTCTGGCTCTGAATCTCATGGTCTTTGCATATCATTGTCTGTCTCCCTGTTCCCAGAACACAAGTGACCATATGTGACAGTCACAAGGTTCCTGGCTTACAGCCCAGGAGTTGGACCCTGAAGCAAAGGTATATACACATTGGATTTTGAGCTGTGGCTGCAGCCTCTAGTTTGCAGCACTGGCTGTCCCCACTATTTTTCTTCCAGCCATGCTGAGGCAGGGTAGCAATGGAGCAGGGCACACTTTATGTTCCTAAAATCTGGGGTGCTGGGATACTGTGCATTTAGGTCTTGTGCTATAGGTGGATGACTTTAAAATGTGCATTTAGTTTTAACTGCATTCTCCTCTATCTTCCAGAGAGACCATAGGCTAAGACCAGAGAAGAAACCTTTCTATGGGCTCTCCCTTCAGAAAACAGAGCAATAATGCTCTGCTCTTGGTCTCATCATAAGTGCATCAGGATGGATCTTTAGCATCAAGAAAGACAGGATGACAAATTACTAAGTACTTTTTAGAAAAGAAAACAGGTCACAAAATTTTAGAATATTTGACTTACATATGTTTCAGGAATGTTTAATAGTGTGCTTAGCATGGCCTCTGCTCCCAGTACACTTAAGAGAAAGGCCTGTAGCCCTCCAGATGGGGATGTTGTGAGGTTTCTACCAGCCCCTCCCGGCAGGTAATAGAAAAAAACATCCAAGGGTCACTGTGACTCTGCATCTTGCACCTAGCCCAACGCAGGGTAAATGGCACTGCATGCAGTGGGAGCTCCATCAGCACTGGTGCCTAATGGGCCTGGGAGGAAACGTAATCTGGCCCAGAGTTATGGGGCCTGTATGTCCTTGATTAGTGGTTTTCATGTTGTCCCCATGATGCATATTAGTTAAAATTATCCGTTGTTATGATTTGGATCTTAAAAGTCTTCCAAAGGCTCTGTATGCTAAAGGCTTGGTCACTTGGTCACCAACCATGGTGCTACTGGGAGATGGTGGGACCTTTAGAAATTGGGACCTAGTAGGAGAAAGCAGATCATTGGGGGTGTGCCCTTGAAGGAAATATTGGACCCCCAGCCCATCCTTTCTTTTGCTCCACCATGTAGCCCCGCCATGGTGTTCTGCCTCACCACAAGCCCCAAAACAACAGAGCAAGCTGATATTGGTTGCAACCTCTGAAACCATAAGCCAAAATAAACCTTTTCTACTTTTAAGTCATTTATCTCAGGCATTTTATCACAGCAATGGAAAAGTAAGTAATAGTCTTATACAATTCATGAAGCCCCGAGGCTGGTTGGGCTTGCCCAGGAAGTCTCTCCTGTCATCGGCATTCAGGGGTGCATCTGAGGTCCCTGGGGCATGTGTCTACTGGCAAGGTTGCCTCCTGCCCTTGAGCCAACCCTATGGGGAGGCTGCCTGGGAGCTGACCCAAACCCTCTCCCTTCCAGATCGTCATTCCCTTCTTCAGCCTACTCATCAAAGACATCTATTTCCTGAATGAGGGATGTGCCAACCGCCTTCCCAATGGACATGTCAACTTTGAGGTAGGACCCAGGGACCTTGGAAGGGAATGCAACCAAGTGAGATCAGCCACTAAAAGTGCCCCCCAAAAAGCCTGCTGGACCCTCAATCATCAAACTAATGGGGGACCTTGAGGCAGACAGAGTGTAGTAGTTCTCAGGATCTCCCCACCCCCACATCCACCAGAGGGGGATTCTGAAGCCCATGCACATGTGGATAATGCACTCTGTGCCGGGGCTTATGCCCAGCATGGGTGAAGCCGAATCATTTTTGCCCCTTGAGGAGCACAAGGGCAATAAGAAAAATAGCCCCATAGGCCCATGGTGACAACTGCAAAGGGCTGTGACAGGGCTACACAAACACACAGTGCTTAGGAAACAGGAAAGGACCCAAAGGAGCAGCAGGGGTGAGCTGTTAGGCAGAGGCCAGAGTGGGCAAAAGAGAAGAAAGAATTCTGCTCCCTTGGTAGACACCACGGTCAGCTCAAGTGTCCCCTCCTCCAGGAAGCCCCTCACTGTGACCTCTTAAGGGCTCCTGCAGAGCAGCAGATGGCATCCCTCACTTTGTCCCAGCACCCAAGTCTCTGAGTACCTCAGAAGCAAGGCCAGGCTGATTGCTGTGTCCCAAGTAGGCCCATCTCACACACATGTGTGTCAGAGTGACTGGTGGGCGAGAGTACACTGGGCAGTAGCAGCAGGAGGTCACTGAGTCAGACTGACAGAGCATACCATGTGGTAGTGTTACCACCCACTCTGCAGGAAGAAAGGGACTCTTCTTCTCAAAAGCCAACTCTACCCTAGTGCTAGCCCCAGCAGGGACACAGATGGATGCAAAAGCCCTCAGCCTCCAACTCCCCAAGGGGAAGTAAGTCCTGGGCCAGTCACTTGCTCTTTATGAGCCTCAGTCTCTCCCTCTGTAAAATGGGGCATCAACTACAACTATGGCTACACAGAGAGGCTAGGAAGAGGAGATATGCAGCATGAGCCACCAAAGGCTCTGAGTGTCCCCTGCTGATGAGCACCAGAGCACATGCCTGGGCCCTTCGGCCTGGAGCTGCCCTCTGCACAGACACCCCTGCAGACCATCACATGCTGCCCATAGCCTGCTCACTCCTGAGAGCCAGCAGAGCTTGGGGAAAATCCAGTCCAATCTGGCAGATGGTCCAGTCCCAGCTGCTGCACCCCTGGGGATCAGCCCAGGCTGAAGGCCACATGGACGAGACTGCAGGGGCCCAGGCAGCCTAGAGTGAAATTTTACTCCACAGGTGACCCTGACACACAAACCAGTGTAGGATCCCCTGTTTTTTGCCCTTCTTGAATTGGTCCTCAAAACCAAGGCAAGGGGTTGGGGTAAAATTGCAACTCATGTGACCACCACAGATTCGGAAAGCAGGTACTAGGAACCAGACATGGCTGCCAGGGCTGATCAAGGGGTATCATAGAGCTGGGATCCCCACCCAAGAGTGTCTTTGTGCTGCTATTTATTTAACAACCTTCTTAAAGTTGGCATGGTTTTTAAAATTAAATGCACATTACAATGAGGCTTCCAGATCCACAGATTCTGCATCCACGATCTTACCACCTGTAATCCTAGGAACTTGGGAGGCTAAAGCAGCCTCCCAAGCAAAGGCAGGAGGGTTGCAAGTTAGAGGCTAGCCTCAGCCACTTAGCAGGGCCCTAAACTCCTCCTCAAATCCCTGAAATCACTAAAGGGTGAGAAGAGAGGGTTTCTCAGGGCTGGCCACTCACACTCACTGGGAACTTTAGGCACTGTGGGTACCTCCATTTTGTGTCTCTGTGTGACCCTGGCAGAAATTTCTGGAACTGGCCAAGCAGGTTGGAGAGTTCATCACATGGAAACAAGTGGAATGTCCTTTCGAGCAAGACCCCAGCATCACCCATTACCTGTACACTGCTCCCATCTTCAGCGAAGACGGTAAGGTGATCTTGCAGCCTTCCTAACCCCCTCAGGCCATGGGACTCTTGGGTGGCCTCTTAGTCACCATGTAGGAACCTCTACTCTGAACAGGAATGCACTATCCCCACCCTTACTGGCCCTCAAATGGAGCAGAGAAGACTGCATTACCCAGGATGGCCAACTGTCCCCTCGGGAACACAGGATAGATCCCAGGAGCCATGGGCTGGGGCCTCAAGGACCCCCAGGCCCAGGCTTCTCCCTGGATACAGTTTGAACACTGTTGGGTATTATATAAGTCTGTACCATCTGTCTATATTACCCCATTTTTCTCATTAGTTAAGTGGGAGTGAGGGTAAGAACTGGGGCTCACATGGGGATGGCTAAGCACTGACTGACTCTGGGTTTTTCCATGGCTGGTGCATGTGTATGTGTGTGTAAGTGTGTGCTGGTTTGGGTGTGTAATACACACTGACATGATATGAGTTGACTTTTCTGCAGAGTGCTATTAATGTCTGTCTATCCCTTCCAGTAAACACACATTTCCATCTAATCACTTGTCACAAATCAGTTTGTTTGCAAATTTGCTAAGTAGTAAACCCTGAGATCCCCCTTTCAGAAAGTGAAAGCTCTAAAGAAGGCAACTGTCAGGTTGTCATCTGCTGTGGGGGCAGTGTGGCCCAATGCTTAGCAGCTCTCACCCTGGGATCTGCCCTCCACTCCAGCACACAGGAAACCTGGCTCATCTTCACCAGCAAGCAGGTTACAAAGGAACCAACAAACATCTGTGTCTGCGGAACATTTACTGCCCCACCAAAGGGAAAAAAAAAAGAAAATTAGGGAGAAGTCCTTTTTTTAAATGATTTTGCCTTTGGATACTTCCAACTTTGCCATTTTACTTTTCATATTTGGGACCCAGAACTTGCTGAAGGGAGTTCTACCTATATCTGTAGCCTCCTAACACTTACTTCCATCAAGAAACAGAGCAAGCTGGGTATGGTGGTACACACCTGTAATCCTAGGAGCTTGGGAGGCTAAGGCAGGAGGGTTGCAAGTTAGAGGCTAGCTAGCCTCAGCAACTTAGCAGGGCCCTAAGCAAATTAGTGAGACCCTGTCTCAAAATTTAAATTTTTTTTAAAAGGCTGGGGATTTGACTCAGTGGTTAGGTACCAGGTGTTCAATCCCTTGTACTGCTCCCCCCATACCCCACCATGAAAAAAGGGAAGCTGAACAGTTGATGGATAAACCAGCCCAGGCTGGTTCACACAGGGGTCTGTATGAACTCAGGTATCACCTTCTCTAAGCCTCACCTATTTCCTCTATCAAGTGAGGTAATGAGAGAACCTTCTTCCTGGGGCAATGATGAGAATTACTTGAGTTGAAAGAGGTAAAACCCACAAGTCTGTACTCAATCAATGCTAGTCTACAGTACTTCCCTCTATTCACAGAGGATATGTTCTAAGATCTCCAGGGGATGCCTGAAACTGAATAAATCCAAATTCTATATGTACTATATTTTTCCCTACATATACATACACAAATAAAATACCTTTTTCTTCTTATCATGCACTGTGGCCATAATTTTTGCAGTTTAAAGTGTGATGGCAAAACTAGCACAAATTTCTTTTTCCTTGTTCACAATTTTACAGATGGAAGATTTGTTCCTACCACAGATCTTAGCAACCTCAGCATATGATTTTTTTTTCCTTTCCTTGTTTAGTGGAAATCATTCCCCTTTGCATTTAAAGGAAGCATTTTACAACCTTTGGCATATTCAAATTACCAGCACCCCTACTCTTGTGATTTAGGGCCATTATTAAGTAAAATAAAGATTGCTTGAACACAAGCACTGTGATTCCATGACAGTTGATCTGATAACCAAGAGAGCTACTTGTGTTAGTCAGCTTTTTTGTTGCTGTGACCAAATTGCCTAACAAGAACAACTTAGAGGAGGAAAACTTCCTTTTGACTTACAGTTTCAGAGATTCAGTTCATAGATGCCCGACTTCATTGCTTTAAGCCCAAGGTGAAGCAGAACATCATGGTGCAAGGGCATGGCAGAGGAAAACTGCTCACCTCATAGCATTCAGGAAGCAGACAGGGAATAGTGAGGATCCAGAGACAAAATATAAACCCCAAAGACATACCCTAGTGACCCACTTCCTCTGGCCATGCCCCCACCTGCCTAAAGTTACCACCCAGTTGGTCCATTCAAATGATAATCCATCAAATGGATCAGTATACTGATTAGGCTGTGGCTCTCATAGTTGAATCATTTCACCTTCTTCATTAACACAGGAGTTTTGAGGGATACCTCATATCCAAACCATAATGCTGCTAAGTGACTAACAGGTGGGTAACATATATAATGTGGATACACCGGAAAAAGGAATGAGTCATGTACCAGGAAAAATGAAGTGGGATGGCATGAGATTTTATATTACTCAGAATGGCATGTAATTTGAAACTTATAAAATGTTTACTTCTAGAATTTTCCATTTAATGCATTCAGACCATGGTTGACCATGAGTAACTGAAACTTCAAAAAAGAAAAACAAAGATAAGGAGGGACAATTGTATTAGGTTCCTATGGACACTAAAACAAATCACCACCAAGTTGGTGGCTCAAAACAACCACAAACTTATCCTTATGCAATTCTGGAGGTTGGATGTCTAAAATCAGTTTCACTGGGCTAAAAATCAAATTATCAGCAGGTCTAGTTTCTTCTGGAGGCTATGGGGCTAGGGTGGGAGGGATCCATTTCCTGGCCTTTTTCTAGTGGCTGCCTGTATTTCTTGGCTTGTGGCCCCTTCCTCTTTCTTCGGAGCACATCACTTCAATCTTTGCTTCCAACATTGCATCATCTTTTTTCACCTATAGTCAAATCTCCCTCTGTCTCCCTCTTATAGGGATTTGTGATTGCATTTAGGGCCCAATCAGATGATCCAAGATAATCTCCCCATCCCCCAAATATTAATTTAATCACATCTACAAAGTTCTTTTTTGCCATACAACATAACATTCTGGTCCTAGGGGTTAGGACCTGGGTTTCTCTGGGAGCAATTATTCATCCTCAACCAAATATACTAGTTATTATGATGATTATTGTCATTAGCCAATCACCTCATAGTGGAACTTGGGCAATGAAATGTGTCAAAGGTACATGAGAAGGGGTTGGCATTGTGGCTCAGGGGGTAGAGCACTCACCTAGCACATGTGAGGCACTAGGTTCAATCCTCAGCATCACATTTTTAAAAAAAAAGGTACATGAGAAGAGGGGCAGAGGTAAACAGTATTTCTTGAGACCCTGCAATGTGCTTGGCAGTGAGTCAGTAGTGAATATATTAACAAAACCCCAGCACTATTAAAAAAGTACTGAAGTTCTCAAAATTAGAAAAGTTCTCAAAATTAGAAAAGACAAACCTACAGATTCAAAAGGTTGAATGAAGCACAAAAAGGATCAACCCAAAAAAACCCATACCAAAGCACATCACAGTCAAACTTCTGAAAACTGAAGAAAAAAATAAGAGAGAGAGGGGTGGGGGTGGGGGGAGGAAGGGGGAGGGAGAGAGGAAGGGAGGGAAAGCAGGAGGGAAAAACAAATTTTGAAAAAAAGACAATGGGGGGAAAACAAGCTGAATGATATCAGATCTCTCATCAGAAACTATGGAGGCCAGAAGACAGCACCCTATATTTCAAATGCTGAAAGAAAGGAACTAACAGTCAACCTAGAATCCAGTATCCAGTGAAAATATCCTTCAGGAATTTACTATAGGCAAATCAAAATGAAATTCTAAAAGTTGTTGGTGTAACAAATAGGAAGAGAAGAAAAATAAAACAGAAAAGTGAAACACAAAAAAAGCAGAAAACAAATAAATAATAAAATGGCAGACTTAAGCCCTAACATACCAATAATTACATTAAAGGCAAATGGTCTCAATACACTGAGTGAAAGACAGAAGTTGGCTTAGTGGATTTAAAAAACTTCCAAGGAAAGAACTTTTAAAATACCAAACTATATGTTGTCTTTAAGAAGCTCACTTCAAATATAATGATGTAAGTATATTGAAAAACAAAAGAATGGGAAAATACTTACCATGCAAACATTAATCAAAGGAAAAACAGAAGTGCAAATATTAATATCAGATAAATTATATAATAATGAAAAATCAATCCCTCAAGAAAACATAACAATCTTAAGTATGTATCTGACAAACAGTAGGGCTACAAAATTTGTGAAGTAAAGCTACTTGAAAGGAGAAATAAATTGAAAAGTAATTGGGACTTCAAGACCAACAAGACAGAAAATTAGCAAAGACAAAGGACTCAATAGCACCATTATATAAGATCTAATCAACATTTTTAGAACACTCCATAGTACTAATTTTTTTCAACTGCCTACAGAATATAAACCAATATTTACTATATCCTGAGCCATAAAACAAAGCACAACCAATTTGAAGTAATTGAAATCATGAGTAGTAGGTTCTGCAACCACATTGGAATCAAATTAGAAATCAGAAACATAAGACCACAGGAAAGTCGCCAAACATTTAGAAACTAAACAAAACACTTCTGTGTGGTGGCATTCACCACAATCCCAGTGGCTCAGGAGGCTGAGGCAGGAGGATCACAAGTTTAAAGCCAGCCTCAGCAACTTAGCAAGGCTCTAAGTGACTTAGCAAGACCCTGTTTCAAAATAGAAAATTAAAAAAAAAAAAAAGACTAGGGATCTGGCTCAGTGGTTGAGTGCCTCTGGATTCACTCCCTGGTACCAAAATAAATAAATAAATAAATAAATGTTTAAAAATAAAATCACACTTCTAAATAATTCATGAGTCAAAAAAGACTCAAAGGAAATAAAAAAGTAATTGAACTGAATAAAAATACAAACAGAATTTGTGGGGTACAGCTAAAGCAGGACCGAGAGGGAATTTCATAGCACTGAATATACACAGTAGAAAAAAGGAAAAGTTTCAAATCAATAATCTAAATCCTAATCCAAAATTTTAGAAAAAGAGGAGCAAAATAAGCCCCAAGATAGCAGAAAAGAAGGGAAAAAACAACACTATCTCTGGCAAGTAGAACAGAATGGAACTCTCCAATTTATTTTATTTAGCCAGTTGTCTTAGTTCAGGCTGATATAACAAAATACCTTAGGCTGGGTGCTTTAAAAATAATAGAGATTTATTTCATACAGTTCTGGAGGCCAGGAAATTCAAGCTTAAGGTGCCAGCAGATTCAGAGTCTGATGAGAGTTGGCTCTCTGCTTCCAAGATGGCATCTTCTTGCTGCATCCTCATGTAGAGAAGGATGGCAGAAAGTCAGTAAGGCTGAACTCACTCCCAAGCCCTTTTATAAGGTCAATAATCCCATTCATGAAGATGGACCCCTCATGGCCTACTCATGGGGTTCCCCATCTTCATGTTCTTACATTGGAGGATTAAATTTCAACATGAATTTTGGAGGAACACAAACAGTCAAACCATAATACTTCATATTGACCTTATATTAAAACCAAAGATAGTGTGAAAAGTAAAATGTAGACCAAAATCTCCCATGAACATAGATAGAAAAATCCTTAACAAAATATTAGCAAGTAAAATTCAGAAATATATGAAAATAATCATGTATCATGACCAAAGCTCTTCAATGTTTGAAAGTCAATTGATGTGATCTATTATATTAAATATCTAAAGAAGAAAAATTACATGATTATATCAATCAATACAGAAAAGTGTTTGACAAAGTTCTACCCCTATTCATGGTAAATAAAAAATTATCAGGTAATAATAACAGAGCAGAATTTATCAACTTGATAAATTACTTCTACAAATAACCTTATAACATCATATTTAATAGTGAAAGACTAAATGCTTTCCTACTAACTCTCACCAAACTTTGAATCTGCTGGCAGCTAAGATGAATAACAAGGCAGGGAATGTTCTGTTCCCTAGTTAGTCAACATAGTTAGTGTAATAAGGCAAGAAAAGAAAACAACGGATCATAAAGGGAAAAAAAATCACACTATCCATATTTGCAGATGATGATATTTTTTTTAAAAATTCAAGGAATCTACAAAAAGTCCTAGAGCTGCCAGGCATGGTGGCACACACCTGTAATCCCAGTAATTCAAAAGGCTGAGGAAAGATAATCTCAAGTTCAAAGCCAGGCCCTAAACAACTTAATGAGATCCTGTCTCAAAATGAAAAGTAAAAAGCATTTAGGCACCCCTGGTTTCAATCCCTGATACCAAAATAACAACAATAACAAGGCTGTCATTATATAGTACAGTAATCAAGACAGTGTCATACTGCGAGAGGAGACAGACATAAGGATCAATGCAGAAGAACAGAGAACCCAGAAACAGACCCACACAAATGTACCCAAGTGGTTTTTAACAGAAGTGCAGAAACAATTGAAAGGAGTCAAGATAGGCTTTCAAAAAACTGTGCTGAAGCATTTGGACATACAAAAACCAAAAAATGAACCTTAACTGAAGTCTAAGACCTTACACCAAAAATAAAAAATAACTCAAAATGGATCACAGACAGAAATACAAAATGTAAAACTCTAAAACTTTTGGGAGTAGGGGAAAGAGAAAATTTTCAAGATACAGACTGTCCCCAACTTAAATTGTTTGGCTTATGATTTTTCAACTTTACAGTGAGAAATCAGTGAGAACAATGTCACTCTATGGAAATTACTCTTCAAATTTTGAATTTGGATCCTTTCCTGGACTAGCAATATGCAGTTCAATACTCTCTTGAAATGCTGAGCAGGGCAGTGAACCCCAGTTCCCAGTCAGCTCTGTGATCCTGAAGGAAAATATCCAAGACTCTACAGTGTGCTGTGTTGCTTAGCTATGATGACCAGTAGATTAGGAATTCAATGCACTTTTTAAAAAAAATATTTTTTTTTTAGTTGTCAATGGACTTTATTTTATTTGTTCATTTATATGTGGTGCTGAGAATCAAACGCAGTGCCTCACACATGCTAGGCAAGAGCTCTACCACTGGGCTACAACCCCAGCCCTCAAAGCACTTTTTACTTAAAATTATTTCACTTTACAAAGGGCTTACTGGGATGTAATCCCATCAAAAGTCGAGGAGCGTCTGTATAGAGCTAGGTAGAACATTTTATAAAACTAAATATGTAAGTTATGTGACCCAGTAATTGCACTCTTGATCATTTTTTTATTCTAGACAGATGAATATTCAAGGTCAAATAAAATTATTAAAAATCTGTACACCAATGTTTATAGCAGCTTTATTTGTTATAGCCAAAAACTAGGAACAACCCAGATGTCCTTCAGTGGGTGACTGGTTAAACAAACTGTAATACATCCTTACCATTTCCTATGTAGCTACCAAAAAGAACGAACTGTCAATACATGCTATAGGATGGATAAATCTCCAGAGTTATGATAAGTGAAAAAAGACAATCCCAAAAGGTAACATACTCTATGGCTCAACTTATATAACATTCTTGAAATGATAAAAGATCAGTGTTTCCAGGGCTTAAGGAAAGGGTGGGGCTAAGAAGGAAATAGTTGTGGCTATAAAAGGTCAACATGAGGGATACTTTGGTGGCAATGGAAATGTTCTGTATCAGTATCAATTTTCCACTTGTGATATATACTGCACAGATGCTCCCCAACTTACAAAGGAGTTACATCTCAATAAATTCCAGCATGCATTAGAAATATTCTTAAGTCAAAAATGCACTGAATACATCTAACCTACTAAACATAATAGCTCAGCCTAGCTTACCTTAGATGTGCTCAGAACACTAATATTAGCCCACATTGAGCATAATCATTTAACACAAAGCTTGTTGTATAATAAAGTTTAGAATATCTTGTATAATTCATTGAATATGATGCACTATTGAGTATTGATTGTTCCCCCTGTGATCGCCCAGCTAACTGCCTGGTATCTCAAATGAAATCTTCCCACCTATCACTAGCCAGGGAAAAGATACAACTTGAAATTCAAAGTGCAGTTTCTATGAATGAGTATCACTTTCACAGCATCATCGAGGAATGGTATAAACTATACTATACTATACTATAGTTTTGCAAGTGGTTACTATTGGGGGAAAATTGGTAAAAGGTTCGCAGGATCTTGGCACATTATTTCTTACAACCACATGTGAATCTACAATTGTCTGCAAGCAAAAGTTCAATTTACAAATAAAAAGTAGACCCAGCTCTGAGTGTAGAACCAATTATCATCATCTACCGTAATTATATAATTTCACTTCCTTTTCTGCCTAGGTCTTTATTTGGCTTCTTATGAAAGTGAGAGCCCAGAGAACCAAACAGAAAAAGAAAGGTGGAAATCTCTAAGGTCAGTCTTTGTGCCAGGATGGGTATAGGGTGGGTGGAGGGAGGGGCTTGGGCTGCTTGGAAGAGGGCTAAGGGGCTTCTGAGATACCTGATCATCAGTCTCCTGGGGCCTTGGCCAGATCATAGACAGGGAGAAGAATAAGCCCAAGTTCATAGGGATTGGGACAGAACTCAAGGGCTAGGGTAAGTCCATGACCACTGGTAGCTGGTCTTTGGGCAATCAAGATATGTGTTCCAGGGCCAGAAACTCCCAGTCCATATCTGTACTCCAGAAAGCAAAACACACACATACCATATCCTGTTTATTCTGCATGTTAACACAGCTGAATGGAGATCAGAAATGAGTCACAGCAATGGGCTCGTGAGGACTGAGCCAAAAAGACTTGCCAAACATTCTCTGGCCACCTCCTCTCATATGCTATGAAGGTATCCATGCTGGGGAGAAATCAGGGCTGGGACCCTCATCACTTTCTGGCATTTTTAAATCTACAGATCTTCTATTTTGGGGAAGACATGAGAAGCCCAGAGCTGAAGGAGGAGGAAGAGATGGAGCCAGCAGAGGCCATCCACAGCCCCGCCTCAAATGGCCCAGTTGGCGGAGGCAGAAGCAGGGCCTCACTACTTTGCAAATCAAGACCTTGTGGCCTGGTACCCACCACAATAGCTGCATGGGTACAGGAAACCTACTGTGGGACTGCATCCCTGGCAGACTAGACAGGGCCCCCAGACACATGGGTGGCATACGCCTTGGTGACTACCTGCCTTAAGGACGGTGGAGGCCACATTGCCAGTCAGTCTGTCCATCCTGGACAAGGACATGGTGCTACTCCCAGAGAATTGAGCAACTGCAATCGCATTATCTTACTAAGTGACATGCACCACAGAAGTCCACACAGTTTGTCACCAGTTGGTTGAGAGTCTCTGGAACTATAGCAGGCATCATGACATGATGTGAAATAAGTCTATACCAGCTCAGAGCCGACCAGCGGCCCCTGCCATTCTGCTGACAGACTGCTACCCTGTCCCTCCCAATGGGCTTGTCTCTGCAGCCCCATGCACCCTTCCCTTTCTGGATCCTGCTGATATCAGGATAACTTTCTGGTGACGGCTGTGAAACAGTTCAGCAGGACACACGTGGATCACAAAGTTGACAATGTGAACATTACAATCCTGTTGCATAGCTCCCTTGTAAACTTTAGAGTTGGTATAAACACATGTTCATAAATCCTGGATATCCACGTCCACTCTGAGTCACTGACTTCTGGATTTTAAGTAGCATTCAACCAAGATGCAGGGTTGTTTCTTAAATCAGCCCCAGGAATGTTGCAGCTGACATTCAAGAGTAGGAAGTGGTGGCCATTTCCTATCCATAGACCCCATGTCATGCTGACAGAGGCTGGTGCATATCAAGTGCTCAGTAAATCTGTGGTGAATGGATACCAACTGCCTGCATGTGTTCAAATGCCTCTTGTACAGAGAAGGTGGCAATAAAACCAATAGGGAACACCTTGAGGCTCCCCCACAGTCTTCACCCAGCCTGTATTTCTAGTCCTTCCTATACTGGACCAGGAAGCAAATGAGCAGTGGAGCAGCTGAGGCCTCACCTGGCCTGTGATGAGTTCACCTAGTCAGGAAGTCATGGAGTGCGATATGCACCCTCTTTGCAGGTCAAGGACTGCTGGGTGTGGGCACAGGTGTGGGAAGTAGATGGAGTGTTGAGATGCACTGGCCCACCCCACCTGGTTCCTGCCCATGTTAGGCCCCGCAGTGGCTGGGACCCACTCAGAACAAGACTGGGACGGTCTTGGGGGACAGACAGGGAAAAGATAACCAGCAGCTATGAATGCCTCACCCAACTCAGGAAACTGTACCTGTTGAACCAGGACTTCAGTAAGGCCCCAGAAGGACCCAGGAGCCAGAACCCTGGCAGAGTTGTGAGAGTGCTACATATTAGGGTTGCACACAACCAACCATCCCCCTTTTCCCCTGAGACCCCAGAAAGGGCAAGTAGAGTAGGCAGATAGTGGCAAAGCAGGAAACTAATCTTGAGATGATCCCAGGCTCTCTGCCCCTCCACACTCCATGTACTGCTCCCAGTGGGGGCCTGAAATGGTGCTGTTGGGGCCAAACTCAAGAAGACTTGAAATTCCAGGAGCTATCTAGAGTCACCTCCTCATTTCCCTATCCCTACCCAAAACTGTCTCTCAGTTCCTGGCATCCCTAAGGCAACATTAGAAAAGATCCTCTTCAGATGGCAGCAGGAACTGTCCCTGCTTCCTGGCTGTGAAGAGTATTGCCTGTCAATATCTGGGGTAAGCAGTCTATAGTAAGGCTGGGCTTAGCAGATACAAGATCAATGCTCAGAGCCTGGCTTCAACCAGAGGAGACGGTCTCCTGCTCCAGCTATAGAAATAGGAGGTAGGGGGTTCTCCCCTCACCCCAAGAGCCAAGGCCATGCTGATCTCCTGGTTTTACCTCCTTATTCCTAAGTTAATTGGTTCAGGGGCCTATGAAGAAACTCTGAGCTTGGGAGTCCTGGGGGAAACTGGCCAAGATGCCCTCTCCCTGCCTCATGCAATTCCTCACCCAGGCCTAGCATCCTAGCTCTCTCTCCCAAGTCCAGCCTCAAAATGCCTCCCACAGCCAGGCATCTCCACTCCTTTCCTAGAGGCCAAGGCCCCAACTCAGTTCTCCCTATCATCAGCCTCGAACCTGGCTGTGGAAAACCTGAAGAAAGGAGGTTGAGAAAACAGTCCAGTCCCACTGAGATTGAAATGTCATGGGTTAGCTGGAGAGGAAGGTCAAATCCTAATAGCATTTATGAAAGATAGCTCCTGGCTTTACCAACCCCATTGCAAAAGAAACACAGAACTTTCCCCCTCCTCTGGCCTTGTACACACTGTGCTTTTTGTACTGCTGTTCCCCACTTTGTCAATCTAGTCAAAGCCACAGCCTCAGGCGCAAGACTTGTCTTCTAGAAACAATTCCTGATAGTGTTACAAAAATCATGCTCAGCAAGAGACCAAGCATCACTGGGAGAGTTGGAGAAGTCAGGTTTATTTATGCTGGTGGACCCAGATAAGCCAGTGCTCTGAAGTACTGGGCCTGGAGCTGAAGTTACAACCAACAGCGCCACCTCTACAGGAGACTGCTACTAACACCTTTCTATCACCAGAGGGCATAAGTGTCCAATCAACAGCACCACCTCCATATGCTGGGAGGCTCCCAACCCCCGCAGTTGATAGTTGGGATCCTGAGACAGGATCTCAAATATTAACATGCCCTGTATTTGAGGCAGGAGGGCAGAGAATTCACCATGCTTTAAATTTCAAAACAGTGAAGCAGCTAAAAGAGGCTGTAACAACCTATGGTCCTCAAGCACCCTTCACTGTAAGCTTGGTCGAATCCATTAACAACTTGAACATGACACCAGCAGATTGGGCTAATATGTGTAAAGCTGTGCTAAATGGAGGACAATACCTGTTATGGAAGGTTGCCAATGAGGAATTTTGCAAGGAGATGGCTAGGCGAAATGCAGCAGCTGGTTATCCTCAGAGAAATCTAGATATGTTGTTAGGAAAGGGACCTTATGAGGATCAGCAGCAACAAATTGCATATGATCCTGGCGTATGCGCACAAATTGCTGCAGAGGCGGTTAGGGCATGGAAGACTTTACAAGGACATGGAGGTTTACAAGGTCAATTATCTAAGGTAATACAAGGAGCTAATGAATCTTACACTGAATTTGTAGATAGGCTTATTCAAACAGCTACCAGAGTTTTTGGGAATACAGAACAAGCAATGCCATTAATAAAACAACTGGCTTATGACCAAGCGAATCGTTGGTGCAGAGAAATTATTAGACCATGGAAACATGAAGATTTAAACACATATATTAAATTATGTAGAGACATTAATGAACAAGAGCAAGTCATGGCAGCTGCAGTAAAACAGGCTTTAGATGCCAGAGACATTAATGAACAAGGGCAAATTGTGGCAGCTGCAGTAAAACAGGCTTTAGATGCCAGGCCAAGAACATGCTACAATTGTGAACAAACAGAACATTTTAAAAGGAATTGCCCCATAGGAGGAGGGTTTAACAAAACTAGGTATCAAAGGAGTAGAATACCGGGTATTTGCCCACGATGCCGTAGAGGGAGACATTGGGCTAATGAATGCCGTTCTCAAACCACCATAGAGGGTACTCCATTATCAAAAAATGATCAAGGACCAGGTGTTTATCCACGATATCGTGGAGAAAGGCATCGGGCTCCATTGCCAAAAAATGGACAGGGGGGCCCAATGCTCCGGGGCCCCAAACCACAAATATACGGAGCACTGGAGGAACCCAGCAACCCCATCAGGGTAGTGCCCAGGACACATTGTCCATCAGATCCCTCATTAGACAAACCAGAGGGAGCACAGGGTTGGACATCTGCGCCTCCGCCAGATCAGTACTAACTCCAGACATGGGAGTTCAAATCGTTCCCACAGGGGTAAAAGGACCTCTTCCCAAAGGAACAGTAGGCTTATTATTGGGACGCAGCTCTTCTACTCTAAAAGGACTTATGATAAGTCCTGGGGTAATTGATCCCGATTATGAAGGTGAAATAAAAATTATAGCAAGTTCTCCAAAGGGTATATCAGTAATTTCACCAGGAGATAGAATAGCACAGTTACTAATAATACCCAGCCTACATGATAAATTTTCCAGTCGTGCTGTAGAAAGAGGTTCCAAGGGATTAGGCTCCACAGGTGTAGATTGGGCTATGCTTTCTTTAAATTTAGATTCTCGCCCCATGCTAAAACTAAATATTCAAGGACATGAATTTAATGGGCTACTGGATACAGGTGCAGACTTTAGCATCATGTCTCATCAAGAATGGCCAAAACATTGGCCATTACAACAAGCCACTCAAATGCTTCGAGGCCTAGGAGTGGTGACTAATCCCCATAGAAGTGCAATGGTGTTAGATTGGAAGGATCCTGAAGGATGTGAAGGAACTATACAGCCATATGTATTGGATCATCTTCCCGTAAATTTATGGGGACGAGATGTCCTAGATCAATTAGGTTTGACATTAATAAATAACATCAATCAAAATGCACCCACTATTATGGCTAGACAAGGTTTTAGGAAAGGAAAAAGATTAGAAAAACAAGAACAAGGTATAGCAGCACCAATACAAATAGATCAAGGAACAGACAGACATGGGTTGGATTTTCAGTAAGGGCCACTGAGACAATAAAAATTACTTGGAAATCAGAAAGACCAGTATGGGTTCCTCAGTGGGCCCTGACTAAAGAAAAGATACAAGCAGCCCATGACCTGGTCAAACAACAATTAGCGGAAGGACATATACAACCTTCTGTATCTCCCCATAATACTCCCATTTTTGTCATTAAAAAGAAATCTGGTAAATGGAGATTATTGCAAGATTTAAGAGCCATTAATAATGAGATGGTTATTATGGGACCTGCTCAATTGGGGATTCCGCAATTGTCTGCTTTGCCAAAAACTTGGTATGTTTTAGTTATAGATATTAAAGATTGTTTTTTTTCCACGTTTTGCATTTACTATCCCTGCACTAAATCATGAAGGTCCTGATCAGAGATATGAATGGAAAGTACTCCCTCAAGGGATGGCTAACAGCCCAACTATGTGTCAAATTTATGTTAACAAAGTAATCCAGCCAATTAGAAATCAAAATCCTGAACTACAAATATTTCACTATATGGATGATGTATTATTAGCACACAAAGATAAAAACACATTGCTAGAATGTTATGCCACACTTACAAACTTATTAAAAAATTATAATCTAGAGATAGCAATAGATAAAGTACAATTAAATTTTCCAATTAATTATTTAGGAGTTCTATTATCCTCAACCATGGTCCATCCACCAAAAATTCAAATACGAGTAGATCAACTCAAATCACTTAATGACTTTCAAAAGTTATTAGGAGACATAAACTGGATAAGGCCTTATCTAGGTATACCAACAGGAGATTTGGGACCTTTATTTGATATCCTAAAAGGTCCATCAGATCCAAATTCACCCCAAATGTTAACGCCTGAAGCAAGAAAGGCATTAAAAATCATTGAAACATATATGGAAAATATGCATTTGGATAAAATTGATATAAGTTTACCTTTATTATTTATTGTACTACCAACAAAAAATATTCCTACAGGAGTATTTTGGCAATAAGGTCCATTATTATGGATACATTTATCTTA